ACTTCCAAGGTTTGAGTTTCATTTATATAATTAACATTACTTTAGACTGCGTATACAACCATCATGTTGTTCGACAGAATAATTGCGTTAGGAAATATTAGTAAATTGATTTTGTCAGTTGCTTTGTACACAAACGACTAAAGTAATTACACTAATATTAAGTAATACGAATATAAAGTATATGTATTTATAAGTGTGTATGTATGTGTGTTATTGTATATGTTTTAACTTCATAACTACTTCATTACAATTTTAACCTCAGTGCACCTACCTTGCCAGATTTCTCAGAGGACCTTAATCCCGTTGGTTAAAAACACCATGAAGAGACCACTAAACAGTTACCATTCCTTTTTATTGGTAAGCTTTGCTTTAGGGCAGTGTTGCGGCGTTTGACCTGGGGTCAGCCATTGCAGTTTTCGCTTACGGTTATCGTAAACAATCCACTTTTCGTCACATGTCACAATTGGATCCAATATTCCTTCATTTCTGTACCGATTCAAGAAGACAACACAAGTTTCAACACATTTCTTTCTGCAGACCATCAAATCATAAGGCACCCATTTTTCATATTTTTTTATCTTATTGATTTGATGCAAATAAGTCAATATTGTAGGTAGGGTAACGTTAAACCATGCAGCTAATTCCTAGGTAGTTTGACTTATCGGTTAGTCACCTGTGTGTGGCTTCGGCTTTCCACGTGGTTTGGTCTAAGTTTCCATTACGAAAGCGTTTAAACCAAAAACGCACGGTGCGTTCATTAGCAGTCTCCTCTCCAAACGCAGAATAAAAAAAAATGTAACTCGATTGTTGCACATTTTTTAAAAGAAAAAAAAACTACTCATAGGTATCATGTGAAAAAAGTTTCTCAACGAAAATCTCACACCATGAAGATTTTATGTCAATTCAAAGTAGGTATCTATTACTATACAACGGCAATTTCATACTGTAATCCCTATTATTATAAAAACGAAAGTTTATGAGTAGGTGTGTTTATTGTTACTTCTCCACGCTCCAATGGCTGGACCAATTTGGTATGGAAGTAGCTGACAACCTGGATTAACACATAGGCTACTTTTTATCCCAAAATTTAGTGTTCCCGTGGGATGAATTTGTGTATATGATAAACCGCGGGGCGCAACTTGTAATAGATATACTAATGCGCATTAGGAAGTACTGGAATCGCATAGGCCTGCCACCACTGCCTGTATTAGTTAGTTATTTAAGTCAAGAACCAGTAGAAACGTTATAGAATTTGGCTGAAAGTCTCTACTCATACTAATCCCATTAATCAATAAAGCGGACTAACACCACAGCCAATAGTTTTTGTAATTCGCAATCTTCTGTAATGATGTAACACTTCGGTAGTCCAGTGGCATTTGAGCTTAGTAGTTTAGAGAAGTGCGCGGACAAGCAAATAAGCAACTAATAAACTGTATTAAAAATCGTTAAATTAAAGAGTTAGCATGCTCTCAAAATAGCGAAACACACATGCAATGTATTTTAACTGCAGTAAAGTTAAAATCACGTTTTTTAAAGCTTACAGCCAAACACTTAATACGAGCAACCTGTGAGCTACATATGCCAAGACACAACGCTAGAGACACTTAAGGTCCAGTACAATAATTGCTTTTGGATGCTGTTGGGACTTCCCCGTTTTTTGTAGCGTATCTGGTATGTTAGGCACGGAGCGAACAAAAGATCTCTACATAATTATACGCATGAAAACCAAACTCGCTGCTTACAAGAATGCGGTCTAGTTCCAATGGCATCCGAACCATGCGAAGCAATAAACATGATGCACCCTGGTTGCTTAATCTAATAAGATTCCTAGTGAGGTCAGGATATCAAATAAATGTTGTTATGTTACTAATATTAGTCTTAAGTTAATTGTTACTAACACATTGGGCCTAGTTGCTACCTAATAAACTATTATTATTATACAGTTAGATATGAGATTAACACAAATTAAGTTTTTAAACTTAATAATATTATACACGTCTGTTAAACTGGCATGAGCTGTTAAACTACCTCTCAGACTTTCAATGAACCTTTTTGGGTCTTCGGGTCTACAAAGACTCATGAACTTCCTGTCTGACTATCCTGTAAGCTACAGCGACATGTATTATAAGTTATACCAGTCGGAATTTAAAAAAGTATGTTTACGTCAACAAAAACGTTCATTCCTAATAAACGTTTTTGTTGCTGCATGCAGATGTTTCGATAATAAATCAAGGTCCCGTGACATTGTTACTACGTTAATCCATCACGATAGACATTATGATTGAATTGATTGATATGAAATATATATAGCGTGATTACGACTACACTTTTAAACGTGATTTCAATGCAGATTTCTGCCAATTTTGATACCCACTTCCCTTAGCTATAGTACTTTGATAACAGTTGATTTGTGTACGAATTTGTTTCAATTGGAAAATATTTTAATTAATATTATGTGACTAATTTTAAACCTCCTTCCTAAGGAGAGGCCTATGTCCAGCAGTGGACTAGTAAAGGCTGTTGATGATGATGATGATGAATTTTAGAGTTATATGTATATATCTTTTAAAGTTTCAAAGACAGCCACCATGGTCGTTCGGTCTCTGTACATAATATCATTAAGAAACCTTAAAAGAATAAACTCAACGTAATGACAAATTACAACATGTGGTCTACCGGGAGTCAAATCTAGCAACGAGCAGGGTGGAATTGTCATGTAGGAATGAAATATACTCAATAATAATGTTCTGTACTATTGACAGAAGAACTTGCGACATTGGACATGTTTTATGAAATGGAAAAAACGGCTGCCTACACACCTGATACTGAGAAGTAGAAATAATGACGTTTTTTTATATAATCCAAGTTTTTGCTTTCAAAGTTGAAAGCTGACCTATCTATCTTAATCGTCTATGACTCATCAAAGAATGAATTTTACGGCTGCTTATGCTGGTCATTTATATATATTTGATATTTTTTTCTTTTGAGTCTTCTTTCTATTTCTTTAAAATAAAGAAAACATTAAAATTACTTCTACTAATAAAAATACGCTACTGCCAAATGTTAAGATGAATAGGATAAGTTAGCTAAGACAGCTTTATTGGCTTAGATCTAATGCAGAAATATTAATTTTTGTTTTGTCTCAACTCAAGCGCATTAAGTCGCACGTAACAGTTAGATAATAATAAAATTTAAATTATAATTGTTTCGTTCGTGAAAATAGTGTAACAAACTAAAGACAACGCTACTGTACGAATTTTACAAGCCATCAAAATAAACTATGAACGTAAATTTATTTTCTACATGTAATACTTAAAATGTAATACAATTTGTTTTTTCAGCAATTTACAACATTTTCTGGCGATACGACTTCGTTTTAATCACGAAACACTATTTTTACTCTTTTCAATACATTACGTAGACATTTTGACCAAGACAGCATTGTAAATAACATGTTACAAGACACAAACTTAGAAGTGTAAAACAAGTATTTTTGTAATTGTTACACTATCGCATTAGGATATGCCTGTAATGATAGTTGCAAGTGTGGATGCTAATAAATAAATTTTAATGGTACCAAAATAAAAGTTTCAATTTACAAATCTAATAAAATTATAAAGAAGATGAACAAAATTGGACGAACTGAAAAAAAGTAATGCAAGGAATGTCTGAATGAACGTACAGAAGAAAATTCTACGACATAGAAGGTTTTTAACAAAAGTTACCAGCGAAGTGGTCTTATTCTGGCTGGTGATGAAGGATTAGGTTTGGGTTGAGAGACACAAATATGTATTATCATTATTGTCACAAGTATTTAAAACACAGTTTTATAAAGAGAACGTAAAACAAAATAACATTCATAGGTTTTTTTTAATAGGGTCTATTAGTGGTAGAAAAAAACAAAAATTGATGGAGCGAAGACCGTCAGTAGTTAATACCTACTGAAACTAGAGATAATAAATGTAAATAGTAAATATGAAAACTGTCATGAAGTTCACCTACACAATGTCAACGGAAACAGTGTGCCAAAAAATTGCTAGAAATAAATACAACACAGCATACAATCCAACAGTTGTACAATGTAATTAGATAATAATACACTATGTGAAGAATGACAACTATAAATAACTGTATTATTAAGCTACTACATTATTCGTGAATTTCTGGGCGTGAATGTAGGCATCATTTCAACTAAAGACTTAAAGACGCCATCGCACAGTTTATGTAAAAATAAAAAATTAAGTTGCCTATTATCTAAACGACTTACAACTAAATCATCATCATCATCAATATATAATAGGCCTTTAATATTCCACTGCTGGACATAGGCCTCTCCTTAGAAAGGAGGTTTTGGTCTACTATACCACGCAGGCCAGACGGGTTGGTATAGGATTTGTGTCAAGTTTTCCTTCTCTCTGCAGTGCTGTTGTTCTTCGTAGTTTCTTAACTAAATAGGTCTCTTAAATAAAAAAAAAATACAGTCGAATTGATAACCTCCTCCTTTTTTTGAAATCGGTTAAAAATTGAAAACCTATTATGCAACCTTAACCTTATTTATTTATTTGAAGCAGACAAATCAGATGAACGAACTAAGAAAATTATAGGATAAAATTGTAAATAAACAGAAAATAAAATAAAATAAATATTTTATATATAATTTATTGTAATCGGATTGCAACACTTACACAACTTTAAGATACCGCATTTTTTTATTATAAGATTTTAGTTAAGCCTGTATACTAAAACGCACCTTTTATTTATTTATTTATTTTTATTTTTAACTTTTTGCACAAGTACATGCATCGGCGGACTTAATGCCTAAGGCATTCTCTGCCAGTCGACCGATTCACCTTTGCTGAATAGTTACCAATTACAGTTATTCTACAGATCAATTAAGATCTTTCGTATTACATGAACGTAGAAAGATGGGACTTTGCCCTTTCTCTATAGAGGCAATAGATAAATATACATTTTTTCTTGACGTTGGTTTTTGTCTGCAGGGCGGCAACAATGCAGGACACACAGTCGTAGTCGATGGTCAAGAATACGATTTCCATTTACTGCCGAGTGGGATCATCAATAAATCATGCACCTCTGTTATTGGTGAGTATTGATTGCCATGGAACCTGAAATTAGAAATTAACAAACCCTCTGGTAAAAAATATTATTTAGTTTATTGTCTACAAGGAAAAAAAAACAATCTTCTTCGTAATATTAGTCATAAAAACATTACATTAAACTTTATAGAATAATTTATTGAATCTGGTTATACCGCCGCCGACCTCGTGAAGAAATGCTTGTTTTGTTCACATTTGACGAATATTTGCCTTCAGAGTTGTGTTTATTTATTTTATATGTAAACATGACACATATAAGTACACATTGTACACACATACTACCAATACTATACTTACTTAATACGAATGCTTGATAGTTTTTGATAAGCGAGTGACCCTCTGGGGGTCCAGCTTAGGTAACAAGAACATACGAGTGAGGCGTGCCTCATGAGTCTACCGCTCTTTACGATAGTAATTTATATCTACACGTCTTACACACGGCCATCAGATCCCTAACTAGGCAGAGCCTGTACTATGGTAACCAGATTACATTTAGTTAGTATACATACATTTTATAGATAAATTACACCCAGACAGAACAAGTGATCGTGCTCATTACACAAGTATTTGTCCTGGGTGGGAATCGAACCCACGACCACTGGCTTAGCAGTCAGAGTCACTAACCACTAAACCAGCGGGCCAGACGATCGATTTATTAAGGATCATTGTTTCTAATCTCACTTTTCTAAACTAAAAAAAAAGTGATGTGACAATGTTTGTTTATTTAAATTTTAAACCGGCTATACCTGACCTGTGATTGATTCTGTGTGGGGTGAAATACATAATAATAATAATAAATGAGCCCGTGGGTGTCGCAAAGGACAACAGAACTGCAAAGGGTAGGAAAACTTGACACTACCCCTATACCAACCCGCCTACGAGCGTGGTATAGTAGGACAAATGCTCCTTTCTGAAGAGAGGCCAATGTCTAGCTATGGACTATTATAGAGGCTGTTGATAATGAAAAGGAGCCACGGATGCCCGCCATAACCCCTTATTATTGAAAGTTGACTAAATAGCAAAAGCAGTAATTTACGCATTGCTCAAATTAAAAACACATAATATGCTGATACGTAGTTTATCGCGTAATTCACATGTAGGTATAGATTGGTATCAAGCAGGTCACAGTTATTAAGGGACCATTGTGTTTAAATTGTATTTTTTATGTGGGCTCTTAACATACTTTGTTAATGTTAACAATGCCGTCTTTAGGCCTGGCCTGTGTACCACGTTTTAATGCTAGGCTAGCTTTCCAAACATTTTATCAACAACTTATTGTTTTATTGTTTGGCGTGTTTGATAGACCATATAAGTCATAAACCTCTCGGGGTACACTTTAGACACGTGTTCTGTGACTCTCAAATAAGCAAAAGGTATGAAATGATTAACAGTTCATTATAAATAAATAAAACAAGGTCGGGTTATATACCCCATTTGTAACTCAAAACTCAAAAACAACTATTAAATTGTTAAAAAAATGCACGAAAACAAATTATGTTTTTTTTTTTTCTAATAAACGTGACACGTACTCGTATAAGAAAACAACCAAAACGCAGATGACACTCGGGGACCTACAGGTATATATACTCGTATATATATTTTTAAATTAATCTAAACAAGTATCATATCCCTGGAGTTTGGGTAAAGAAGGCCTTTGGGCAGTAGCCCTAGCTATCTACCCAAGGTTAACTGACTCGGTAAAGAACTTCAAGGTTTGATAACAATCAACTCGTGTTGGATTCGTGCATTGCCTAGTGTAACTGCTAATAGTCACTCGACCATACGGTCGAAGAAGTAATGCAAGCTAGCGCTTACTTCTTAGCTCAATATATATATCGGCCATTTTTTATTCCTGCATTGATGTTGACACTGACACACAAAAATAGTAAAAAATGTATCTTGTTCTATGGGGGTGGAGGCTCGAAGGACCAATTATGTGTAACATTAACATTTGGATTCTGTTAGTATACTGTCTTCTTAAGTAGGATACCTATTAATATATAATTAACGGCTGCTACAAGTTTGCATGTGTATTACCCTCTATCTCATTATCCATTATATATGCTTATAATGTTAGTTCTACTACCTTGATTACTACTACTATTAGGAACTATTATGTATGACTATTATGTATGTAAGTAGGTACCTACACATTGATATATTAAAGTAAATTTTACTTCAGTCAAATGTTTGTTGATTCAAATGTTACACAAATGAAAGAATTTTAATTTGACCGATGTCAAAGGCATCTCAATAGGCTTGTCAATGGAATGACAGTGGCTTGTACGTTAACATAAAAAAGCAGAACTGAGGCCCAAGGTCGCGTACCCGTCCTGTCCGTCTTCCGATTATAAAGGCCTCTAGGAGAGGGACCATTATGTCAAAGGTCTTGTGAACCTTCCAACCATAAGACAATTTCCTTTCTTAGATTGTTCTTTCTAAAAATGATTACATTCTTATTGTTTAGCGTCAGGCAGGAGCTAATCGAAACCAGCTAAAATCCTTGCCGCATGTTACGCATTGCGCCGACCCCAAATAGATTAGGAGCAGGGTAGGAAGATGATGATGATAAGTTATTTCTGCTAAACAATTGAATTCCTAAAACGATTAGCTATTTATTTTAAACTCAGGAACAACATTACGGTTTCTAAGTACCTAAAGACAAAGCGTGCATTCAATTCAAGATAAGCGACCTTGTTATTATTATTTTAATATTCTATACAAAATACCATAAGGAACTCATAAAAAGTAAACGCGATTATTGCATGTCAGATGATTTACAAATTGAATAACTTGTTACAAACTAAACAATATGCAAATAAGATACAAAAAAGTTTATATTCGTGCCAGCAATAATGATGGGGGTTAGTATTTTGTACCGTGAAATGCTTGGTACCGATATTGTACATATTATTACTGGGTAGAGATAAACAAACATTAATTTATTTACAAGGTCAAAGAAGGTTCGCCGAAGATGACTTTGTTTGCTGGCATTTCCCTTGGAGGTCAGGGCTGCTACTAACTAGTTGCCGTCACGTTGTTGTTATGAATTCTACAATTAAATAAGCAAACGAATCTAATTTTTTATAGTACATATGTGTACTTGGAACATACATAATATACATATGGATACATAAATATATATTACTTTTCTGTACAATTTTATCCAGTATAAACCTGTTTTTCTATTGGTGAGACCTTTTTTCTATTACCAAAGAGTTTGTTCTCATATTTGAAGACCAAGAAGGTTACAAACATAAAATGAAAATTTGATTTCAAAAGTAAGGTTAAAAATACGTTCCCTCCGCTTTGGCTGTAATATTTTTGTCCTGTCTGCAATTAAAAATATTACAGTTTATGTCCAACAACAATTACTTCAGACCAAATTAGCAGAAAGGGTTCATGCCCGGAATCTCTGGATGTCTGGAACATAACTCATTACTTGCGGAAAGTCAACGATCAGTCAGTTGGATAGATTTCGAAAACGTCAGGCTCACTACGGCACGAGCTCATGTTATTTGCCTTGAAATGGTATAACTTTCCGCCAATAATTTGTAAAATAATTGCATCATACTACAATAAATTAAAATTTGTAATCACAGAAAAAAAGGGACATACAAAACCTCTCGAATACAGAGTAGGGTTGTTCCAAGGTTGCTGCTTATCACCAGTAGTATTTAATACAGTTATAAATATATTAATAGATAATATCGCAACACACAAAAAGAGGTGGGGCTATCGGTTTTAGGGTGAATGGAAAATATACGGAATCCATCTTGGCATTCGCAGATGACTTCTGTACCTGGACGGAGGGAATGAGGACAAAACCTAGCAAATGCTATTTACCTTTGTCTGGGCCGGCGAAATACCAGATATACCTCATATGACCGCGGCATTACTATTAGTGGGCAAGGTGTTTCAATAATATTAGAAACCGTGCCCTTTAAATTCCTTAGAAGAAAGATAGACTACAAAGGTCGTGGTACTCCATCTATGAACGCAATAGTAGATGAATTCGTAAAAGACATTGACAAGGTAGACCAACAGCCAATAAGTAACTTAAAAAAGTTTGGATTTGCCACAACTACTTAAGATCACGTCTAAACTGGCCGTTGCTGGTATACGATATAAAGCAGAACCACTTAAGAACACTGGACGCGAAAGTCACTAAGACATTGAACGCATTGTTCGGGCTAGCAACATGTGCACGTTGTACAGGGGCTCGAATAACTTTGGAATGAAGTTAAAAAGACCTTCGGAACTCTAAAACACCTAAGAGTTACCAAAATGCATGTCTTGTTAAAATCACAAGACGAAATCGTTAGATCCCTTCCAAAAGACAAAAATTCGTCAGAACTCGAGTCACGGCTCCAATTCCAGAAGAAATTCATGGTGGGTACGCAGTCCAGTAGAGTTGGATTGAGACATGCTAGAAGACAGACGATAAAGAGATAACAAAATCTTCACTACGACAAGATGAGAACGAGACCTACAAGGTGCACGCAATGACCCTAGAAATGCAGAATTAACGGTTAACTCTAGGAGAATTTTGTATCCCACCAGCTTTGAAATGGCGCACACTTTTATACGATTGGTCACCTGCTCTGTTAAAATTTTACCTCAACGCCTTTCAATTGACTCTCCCCGATCAAAGCAACCTAGTAAGGTAGGGAAAAGCTACAGAAATGTACGTTATGCAGTGCGGCAATAGGTACAGCCAGGAACATACTGACAGATTTTACGGCGCTATTAGACCGGGGTCTTTATTCACGTCGCCATGATAGAGTATTACAAATCATACGCGAAGCTATAAGTTTATCGCTGGCGAAAGCGGAAAAAGGAATAACAACAAACATAAGAACTAACATCGCGTTTGTAAAGGAAGGCTCAACAAAAAAGACTTCACAAAAGCCGTACTCAATTATAAATACTGCAAGTGACTAGACATTGTTAGTGGACACGTATGAAAATCATTACAGAATAACGGAGGGTCTCTGTGCCTTTCCATCCAGACTAGACATATTTCTACTGACTAGACATAGTAGCTCATACAAAAATTTACTAGGTCTCCTTTAATAAGAAAATACTGATTTAATTTGATGATGATACAAGGGGATTGATGACTCCCGTTGAATCATCATAGATAGATTTGATTTAACTAAATTTATTTGTAAAATGAAATTATTACACTTAAATTTGTCCCTAGTGCCTATGTATTTACTAAAAAACTACGGTATAGTTATTCAGATATGGCATGTAAACAGTTAAAAAGTTCATCATGATTATCAACAGCTTTTAATAGTCCACTGCTGGACCTCACCTTAGAAAAGTGGTTTAAAAGTTAAAAGGTATGGTTAATTTAATTTTACAACCATCGAAGTTAAATCTTAGTAAACTAATTGTAAAGTGCAATGAATATAATTAGGTACTAAATATTTTAAGTGTAATAATTGTTCATTGTGATTAATAAATCCATAGCAATTTTATTAAGTGCAAATATTTTAAATCAACTGGAGCTTTTAGTGTTTTTGGTGCATACGAGTATCACTGATCTTTACTATCTATCTATCTTACCAAATATAGTTCATATTGTAAATTGATATTGACCGATTGACCCTAATTTACACTAGTCTGAATTGAAAAATTATTTTAGTGGTCGATAACCCATTTATCGAGGAAGGTTATAGGTTATATAACATCACGCTACCACCAATAGGAGTCGGCTCATAATCATTGAAAAATGTTGCAAAAAAAGGGAAAATGTTTTTCTTTTGACAGATACGGATGAAATTGCGCGGGCCAGCTAGTATTATATAACATAAAGAATAGTGACGAAAAAATTACGGCAATAACTTACTGACAACTCTAATTAAAATTAAAAACTTTCAATCTAAATTTAATGCAGATCTAAACGATGTATTCATGATTTATGTTTTAATTGATTGTAATGTGTGTTGTGCATTTAATAAACAAATAAAAATAAATAAAATAATGCAACCAAAAGATTAAGCACAGCTTTATATCCGTCCAACGTTCCGAGTAATCTATTTGTTTATTAAAACCATATGTACGTACAATGTATGACTTAGGGTAAGGTGGGGATCTGTGTTACACGGGGTACACTGTTACAATGCACATATCTCCTTCTGTGTCATTCAGTTTTCTAATGTTGGTACACAGCTTTAACAAGCTCATAGGCGGCCATATTGAAACTGTTGTCATTGCCTCAGTTTGTACCGCGTTTCAGAGAGAATAGACAAAAAACGAATTTATGTGATCAAACAAAGAAAAAATTACGATAAAGTTTTTCATTTGTTGCCTAAGGTTTTACATGAAGGTAAGTGATTGTGAGTTTCCTCTATTCACTGTATATTTAGCTTCAAATTATCGTTAAGTTGTTTTTTGTAAATACAACCTATAAGAATCACTTGCTTCTTTTTTCGAGTTACCTCGCCTGGGGCACTGTGTTACGGGGCACTATGTGACACTGTAACAATTAACCCCCAACTGACATTTCTTTTTATATTGTACTTAGGTTTTAAAAGATGGTGCGAAATCGTAAGAGAAAGACGGATTACGGCCTCCATAGTGAAAAAAATATGAGAGAAGCGATTCTGATGGTAGAAAGTGGGATAAGTCTTCGAAAGGCAGCAAAGGAAAAAAATGTTAATTTCATGACATTGCAAAGATACGTAAAAAAGAAGAAGGAATGTTCAGAGGAAGAAGCCGGACTTATACGACTTACTCCAAATTATGCCAATAGAGCAGTTTTCAGTGCCGATCAAGAAAACGCATTGCAGGAATATTTAGTAAACTGTTCTAAGATGTGCTATGGTTTAGATACAGTTGATTGTAGAAAACTTGCTTACGAGATGGCTGTTTACAATAATTTGAAAATGCCACATAGATGGGAGAATAAAAAGATGGCAGGAATTGACTGGTTATATGGATTTAGAAAACGGCATGTAGATTTAACGTTAAGAAAACCAGAACCATGCAGCTTGACACGGGCAACATCATTCAATCGCCACAACGTGAATATATTTTTTAATAACTTGGAAGACGTTATGCGGCGATCTCCTTGTTTTGCAGATGGTAGCAGAGTTTACTGTTTGGATGAAACTGGAACAACTACCGTTCAAAAACCAAAAAAAAACATTGCAGCAAAGGGATCTAAACAGGTGAATAAAGTAGCGAGGAACACTGGTTACAACGTGTTGTGCAGTATCTGCAATGGAAGAACAGCGAGGAACACCACTGCCTCCAGCAATGGTGTTCCCTAGGAAACAGTTCAGGTCTCATATGACTATTGGTGCACCATTAGGAACTTTAGGCCTGGCTCAGCCCACCGGTTGGATGAACAGTGAATTGTTTCTTGAAGTCATGAAACATTTCATAAAAGTAACTGCCTCTTCAAAAGAAAACCCGGCTTTACTTATTGTTGACAATCACGATAGTCACCTGGCACCCGCGGTATTGAATATCGCAAAAAATAATGGAGTTACCTTATTAACTATACCACCACATTGTAGCCACAAACTGCAGCCACTTGACGTGTCTGTGTTTGGTCCGCTGCAAACATACTACAACGCGGCTGCTGATTCGTGGCTAATGCGTCATCCTGGAAAGACAATTTCCATCTACAATATTGCTGAATTATTAGGACAAGCCTTTGATCGAGCCATGACACCTACAAATATCAAATCAGGATTTCGGAAAACAGGAATATATCCATTTGACAGACATATTTTCACTGACGAGCATTTCATGCCAAGTGAAGTGACTAATCGGCCCTTTAAAAATCCTGCTAATGCTTCATGCTCAAGTGAGCCCCTTGAGCCTCAAGCAGCTTCCTCCTCTGATGCCCCCGGTTCTAGTCAGTGCTTTGAAACTCAACAAGTGTCTTTAAGTTACTCCTCAGAAACTCATCAGATTACTGTTACCGATACAGGACTATATCCATCTTCTATTGTTCTGATACCAGCTTCTTCAGATCAACAAATGTTGTACAGGCGTTCTGAGTCTCTAAGCCCAAGTTTGCTTTCGAACACATGTTTTGAGATGAATACTCAACCTGCGGAAACACCATCTGAAACTGCTAAAGAGAACTGCTCATTACCAGCTTTTCTACCGTCGCAAGAGGAAACTCTACTTAGTCCTATAGGATGTCGGGCTTATCCAAGTGCACAACCGAGACTACAATCGAACCGCGGTAGAAAAAGAGGAAAAAGCTGCATTCCAACTGATACACTTATGAAAAACGAAATTGAACAAGAAGCCTTGAAAAGAGAAAACAAAAAATTGGGAAAAGAAAATAAAAAGAAAGTGTCACAAAAAAAAGAAATTCCTTACAAGAGAACCAAGAAAACTAAAACTACCAAAAGAGTTCTATTTATTGATGACTCACAGAGTGATTTAGAAAATATCCCGATATCCTTATCCGACGATTTAACATCTGAGGACAAAGTTCCTTTAAATTATCTTGTAAAACCGAAAAAGGACGATTTTCTTGTCGTTAAATTTGTTGGTAAACAACTAATTAAGCATTATGTTGGTAAATTACTGACAAATATTGAAAATAATGAATTTGACGTCAGCTATTTACGTAGAAGTGGAAAAGTTAATAATCATTTTTATTTTCCTCTTGAACCAGATATGGCGACAGTGTCGTTAGAAGATATTGAAATCGTGCTTCCTCTTGCAAACGTTGCACCAAAAATGACCAAACGTCAGGCAGATGTATATACGTTCCCAAACAATATTATTAAGAAATTTAATATTTGTTAGAAATGTTTGTCATCTCTTATTGTTAATTTTTCTCTAATTTTTTATCTTGTAACATTGTGTCCCTTGCCCTGTAACAGACTACCCCAGATATGGGGCTCAATGTTACAATAGACTGATCTGATTAAACTGCAATTTGAACTAAGTTGTTGCTGTTAAGATTAATGTTTAAATAATTTTAAATAAAGAGAGACTATCATTGTTTACATCCATGTCAGTTACAATTTGATTAAATAAATATTTTCGTTGCTACATTGTCGTTTGTGTTTATTGTAACACTGTGCCCCACCTTACCCTATAGAGTATGACGCAACTTCTAGTTAAAAAACACGTTAACACACCGCAATTATATATCATCACGTGAAGCGGTCAAATGGACGAACCAAAATTGTTTACCCAAATCAAAATGTCCCAAGGTTTGCTGTCCCATGAATCATATCACATTCACGATGATGCAACTTTAGTACCAGCAGTTTTTCCAGTGTTTATAGTCACTCTTCCCTTTCAGAAGATCCGTGACGTGATATAACATAGCTTATAACCTTCCTCATTGAATTGTGTATTGATTACAAAAATATTTTTCCGAATTTTTTGGTCGTTTCGAATCAATTATGCGGTCTTAACAAACAAACAAAAAACGCCTTGGGTATAGATTACGAACTAAATATTCTACAAAATAAAATGTTTTGGTCTGTTCTGTTCTTCTGGTTTACCTCTAAACACTATCGATGAGACGAAATATTGAAGTCAATTTTTCAAAATAATGAGTAAAACAATAACACACAAAAAAAATCTTCAAACTGCAATACATTTTTTCGAACGTTCGTCTGCGGTATTATTTATATTATGCTAATGAGAAAAATATAATAACGTATGTTTATTTTTCCAGGCAATGGCGTGGTGATCCACTTGCCAGGTTTGTTCGAGGAGCTGAAAAAGAACGAGAACAAGGGTATGCGTGGTTGGGAGGACAGGCTCATCATTTCAGACAGAGCGCATCTTGTCCTGGATATGCACCAGCAGGTAATGAGAACAAGAACCCTCTGGGTGATTGGATGGCTATAACCATTATGCTAGTATGCGTGTTTGTAAAATGTGTAATGTTTAGCGTACATGAGTACACGTGTATATTGGTTAAGGTTCCTGGTTACCCTTTTTTTTTTTTTTTTTTTTTTTTCGGTGCGGAAATCCCCTCGGATACCACCTGTCGGTGGCATGTCGGACTCGAACCGACTAAAACCGCACGCCGTTTCGGGTACTAATAGCCGGGGAACCAGGTATACCCTAGAAAGGAAGTCCCTGGTGTTTTTAAAAAGCCAACATCACGTGGTATTTCCGTGCGGTCACCCATCCAAGTACTAACCACGCCCGATGTTGCTTAACAAGGTTCCTGGTTACCCTGGACTAAAATAGGCATCCGTATCACAGCAGTTTGAGCATGACCGAATATTAATGCATGCTTAGTTTTTTCTATTCTTTTCTTTAAAAAGGTTATGATTGTTTCGTGGAAAATCTATTTTGTCGAATTTTACGATTACGTTTATATAAGATTTTGCTTACGGATGAACTATTAGACGATGGGCAGCCTTGCTTCAACATAATTTCTAGATACTGATTGTCGATTGATTCTTTTTCGTATCCTAGTTTTACAATTAGCTGAGCTAGAAGCTTGATTTAGTCCAATCAAAAGAATAGCATTTTAAAGAATTTTATAATATGAATACTTCTTAGAAGATTATCATTTGGAAAATAGCAAAGTAAAATATACATTAGCCACTGAATTTCTGATATGGTTTTAAACGACTGTAAATTAAATAATAGGTTCTCATTTCGATTGTATTTTTTTCATCTATCGTCATCATCATCAAGAGCCTTCAATCGTCCACTGCTGATAGGCGTCTCCTTAGAACGGAGGTTTTGGTCTACTATAAAACGCTGAACAGACGGGTTGGTATAGGGTTTGTTTCAAGTTTTCCTTCTCTTTACAGTGCTGTCGTCCTGCATAGTTTGCTCCCTTAGTCGGCTCTTACGATAAACGGCATGAACGAGGACGGTGGCTTGGTGACACTTCGTATTCTTAATTCGTCACCACACCGCTTATTCATGGTATCTCAAAATACCGTCATTTACGAATCGATTTACCTACCTACCGTTTTGATGCCAATGAAATTGAAAAAAATAATAATTAAGGAATGAAAATAAAGGAATGAAGATTACAATTCATTACAACACAAAAAGGCCTTGAACGTCATGAGTGTTTATCTGGATTATAGGTTAGTTTCTTATTGACACTGACTGTTGGAATGAGGAAAGTGCTGTTTACTACGACGTTGTATAAAGTACTCAGGTTAGGCTATATTATGAAGTACAAGGCCTTTTGTTTATGGGTGTTTATCAACCACAATATAATGCCGTATCGTGTGTATGATATAATCAACTAAGTCGATGTTGATATCCTCTGTATGTAAGCGATGAAGAAAGATGATGACAATTGTTACAAATATTGTACAATTTGATATAACGGTAGGATGACACAGCGATTTGAAATATTTTGTGTTATTACTTACCTAGCTAAGCTAGGAGCTAAAGTAAGTTAAATTATTCTAAAATTGACGAAATTTATAAATTTTCCCAGTTTTTGCAACATATTTCATTGATGCACCGCTCCTGCTGGTTGTAGCTTCCTCGATAAATCGGCTATCCAACACTGAAATATTTTTTCAATTCGAACCAGTAGTTCCTGAGATTTGCCAAGCAAACAAACTCTTCAGCATTATAATATTAGTGTTTTATTTAATAGGTACAGTAACTGATAACAGATCAGAACATACACATTTATGTTGCCAATATATTGTATATTGTCAACATAATTGTGTCTTAACTTAAATCTGAAGCTCAATTATAACTATACACAACATTCTATTACAAAGACTAAAGTATTCACATAATAAACTTAGTTCCATTATTTATTACGAAGTAATTAGTTTAAGATTTAATTAAAAAACAAAACAAAGAATAAAAAAATAATATTGAAGAAATTATACAGATATTATTGTGGGGCAAATTCTTTTAGTAATGAACTTATGAACAAGTTACATGTATTGTGAGAAAAGTCGACCTCAGAGCAAATAGCATGTATAGATAATTTACATTTTTCTTTGCCGACTTCAAATCGACACCTTTTTTGACATTAATTGAGGAGGTTCTTTTCAAAACTTGACTATTCCACTTTTTGTGTTTTTTTCACAATGTGAGAAAATAGTTTTGTAGGTATGCTGCTATGTTTTTAATCCGAAATGTTGATGCATCATTGTAGACGACAACAATAGTCATTGCTTTATATAGGATTCAAAAATTTGTAACTAATATATTTTAAATGAATCCAAAATTTGCAATGGAATAATCTAGTTTTGACGCGGCTGATTGGAATAATCAAGTTTTGTTATGGGCTTTGGAGGAATAATCATGTTTTGATTCAAACCACTGTGGATTAATCTCGTTTTGCTGAAACTAATTAGGTATCAGAAATCTCATTGTTTAATTGAAATAACCCGAGGTTCATCTTTTTCTCTAAATAAAAACTTTTCTTTTTCACTAATATGTCAGGTGGTTACTTCGGCGCCACCTGGTATGCCATTGTGCATACTACTAACATATTACTAACTGATGATCATTTACTGCTCACTGATAAATTTTAGACAGTAAAGAACATAAATTTCTGACTGAAAAATGTAGGGATAAGACATGTTTTGTTGCAATTTAGATTAAAATAGTTAAATAACTTCTGAATTAATCATATTTTGTTTTAAAAATGTATATTTGAAATGAATAATGTCATTTTGACGTGGTATTTTCCTTGGTTGTGTAACTGTAGAAACAAACCAAACTTAAATCGTCAGAACCAGGTTAGAACACAATGGTATCTTGAGAGTACTTTACCGCGGTGAAACTTTATTTTTTCAACAATGACGAACGATAGAATATGGATTTTTGGTCGGTTCTCCGATATACTTTCCTCTTTACTTTCTTATGTTGATGTGACTTGAAGGTATCTTCATCGAAAAAAAGCAAGACTTACAAGCAGTCGCATGCAATGTGTCACATCTTACCTATATCTGATAGCAAACTATCACCGCACGTTCTTTATTTAAATCAAATAGCGTGCTCTAGCCTAGTTACATACTTCCGTCCCTTTTCATTAAATCACAACGGAGTGCCTAGTGCAAGTGTATTTCACATCCACTCGATCGTCACGGTAACCGTTTGGCATTGCATCTGGACCGCACTGAAATCTTTACTAAGCACAATGAAGGCGCTCGCCGTCGAGAGCGAGTTAATGCGAAATAAATTCGCACTGTGCCGTCTAACTGTAGCAAAGAGAGAGGAAAGATGTTATACATTAAGATGGTGGCAAGTTTTCCTTTACAAATTCATGCCTTTACGCTCACAATTTACGAAAGATAGGCTTATATGACATCTGTTACAAGTTGACGCTGGTATCTGCATGTAAATAATATAATCAGTCATTCGTGTTATCATGTAAAATATATGTAAACATATAAATATGTTTGACTGCTCGTGTCCACACTATTATACATCATAAATTTGTGGGCTAGTTTGTGAATTACTAAATATATGTATAGTAAATGACTTTGAAAATAATAATTCTAAAATGCAAGCGCTTTCATCTACTGTCGTCATACATTATATTTCGCGAAACTTGATTAGGAAGCTTAATATTAGGGTCTGCAATGTTATGCAATACATTGTTAATATATTAGATAAAGTTCGAGGGGCCTCTTGGTCGTGTTTAGTGATCCTGACTGTTAAGCCAGAGGTCGTGGTTCGATTTCCACATAGGACAAGTAATTTTGGGATGAGCAAAATTATTTGTTGTGTCTGGGTGTAATTTATTTATTTATTTATTTAATAACTTTATACACATAAGTACAATGGCGGACTTAATGCCATAGGCATTCTCTACCAGTCTACCTTAGGGTGGTGTGGAAATGAGTGTCGAGGTGCACTACCCTTTGGTTGAGAATTATAAAGTGGACACAAAAGAAATAATGTTAGCAATACTGTCTCGCACAGAAGGAGAAGAGAAAAAAAATATATGAGAAAAAGCAATGAAATAATATAAAAATAACAACGTATACATACAAGAATACATACATTTATATTCATATATATTGTATTATATATATACACATACATATATACCATAATATATAAAGTATCATATTTGTGATGATTCCGCTACATTCCGGTCAAGGAGAGCCCGCACCTTCACCCTAAACGAATTATGACTGGTCGCCATTCTGATATCCATGGGAAGAGCATTCCATAGAAGTACAGATTGAGTGAGGAAGGAAGAATGAACACACGCAGAAGTGTGGGCAGGGCATAAGAGTAGAAGATTATTTGTAGAGCGAAGGGTTCTGTTATGATTGGAGCACAAGAACTAGAAGGAGGATGTCAAGTATGTAGGCGAGTTAGGAGAGTTGAGAATAGTGTAGAGAGTCGTTAGTGCCCGCAGGTGACGACGCTGACGAATTGGGAGCCAATTTAATTTAAGACGAAAGGAGGAAATATGATCATATTTACGAAGATTAAAAATGAATCGAATGCAGTTATTAAGAAGACGGTCGTATTTGTTGAGGAGATCTGCATTCAGATCGTAGTAGCACACATCACCATAATCTATAATGGGAAAAATTAAAGTTTGTACCAACATCGCTTTAATCTCGGAAGGTAAAAAATTCTTGAGTCGGTATAACACCCGCAGGGTTCCTGTAACTTTCTGGCTGACATTAGTAACCTGGGTTTGCCAATTAAGGGTGCAATCAATGAACAGTCCCAAATCCTTCACAGTAGAGCTTAGAGGAATGATTGACTTTTTTATTATAACATTTACTATAACATGTACTCATATCTATTTAGAAATAGTACAGGCTCTGCACGGTATGGGATTAGATGGCCGTGTGTGAGATGTGTGAGCTTATTATTATGATAATACTTCAAGAAAATTAATTGTACCCTGTTTTAAACGATAATGGCGCATTACTTAACGTTATAGTATAAAGAAGTGCAGAAAGCTAAAATTCTTAAACAATATGTGCTGTTAAGTTAAAAATAATATAAAAATGACTATATTGAACTACTTGGGTCCAGTATATATTATGTAATGTCAAGATACAAAAGTCTATGCAATGACATTTCAAGTTATACTGGTAAATGAAACGAAACAATTTTGAAAACTGTCGAAATTTCACTGCCAATTTGATCTCTAGTAATGGTAGTTACGTGGCATCTTGACTGCACGGATGACGTAGTGGTTTAAGTGGTCACCTCCACGCTTCCTACTGCGTTGTAGGTTCGATCCCCACATGGGACAGCACTGTGTGTAATCCACAAATTGTTGTTCTGAGTCTGGGTATTTTCTGTGTCCGTTTCATGAATGTTTCTAAAGTCCCCCGCGACACACGATATATTCCTAATGCGGGAGTTGTCTTTATAACAAAAAACAATCATGAGAGCATGTGGGACATTAGGGACTTCTGTACGAGTATGTTTTTAAATGGTTTAAGCTAGCCCTTAAGTAAAATTATGGCATGAAAAATAGTCACAGAATAATGATACTTGTTGTGTTTGATTACTTTTGTTGCTTTGCAATTATGATTGGTGATAAAAATTTTAATCATGACAATTAATCTGATTACGTAAACGGTTTTTGTTGCTGTATGTATTGTCGAAGTACAGTTACGGATTTATTAATCAAAGTCTGATATGAGATGTCTTTTGATTAACGGTATTATCATTAGAAAACTAATCCTAAAGTACTATTCCATTTTTAAATTTTAAATAATGTAACAATTGTTATTTATAAAGATTAGAGATGCTATACTTATTTGTTTTACATATTTTTTTAATAAATGCTGTGAAGTTAAAAATGATCTCAAAAAAGGGCTACATGAAGCTATGGCTAGTAAATATTTTGACCTGTCGTGGCAAAAAGTCTACAATGACAGTCCAAGTTCTAACAAATAAAACATTCAAAAACTTTTCAAATTCGACCGCCACATATCTCCAATTGTTTTAATGATCACATCCGATGATGGTGTCATTTATGCAACGTGATATTACGGTCTGAATACATATGAGTTTGTTTGCCCTTTCTTCTCATGAGGCTCAACCCCTTGGAAACGGGCGGCTATAGATGCTGTATAATTTTTTTTTTTTTACAAAACAGATTTTTTGCTATTGTGTGTGTTGATCTATGACATCAGAGTCTACATAAAAGACGATTTCAAACATTTTTTTTTATGAAATGAAGAGAGTTTGAGTTTCTAATATTACATACTTATTATCCACAAGTCACGCCCCCTAGTGACGACATGTAAACAATCATCGGCTGCAGACCGATGTAGTTAACGTTATCTGTCAAACACGTGCTTTACTGTAAACGTACATAATAATATAACGTACGTACATGATAATAGAAAATAAAGTCTAACTTTCGCCTGTGACACTGCCTGTGTTCATTTATGAGTTAAATCCATAGTGATAAAGACACGCAATTTTCAAAATGACTCCACAAAGGATAAACAACTGACAGCTACATGAAACACATTGTTTCAGCCCAAGAGTTCGATTTTTAAATGTTAGAATTTTTTAATATTGTTCTGTTACTTGCCAGTTGCCAGTATACATAGCAGCCCCGGTAAAAGCAAAAAAAAAAATAGCTTTTTTTTATAACATATAAAATATAATAGTAATCACTTTTATTTATAAAGAATAATAAAGATAAAACTTCAAATACAGAAAAAGAAACAAAGAAGCATTGAAATAAAAGATTTTCTTATTTGACGTCGACGTCATTTTAATTTAGGGACATTCTACAAAAAACCCTATTGTGTTTCACTTACAGATGATCCGTATGCCTTTACGCATTGGTTTTGTATATTGACACATAAATACATTTGATATTGAACAACTTAGGTAACATTTTTATTGCCCGGAATAATTAATGGATTAAACTAAATTAGTCCATAATGTATCCATAATTAAGGCAATTTGCAGTAGTCTGGAGTTTTTCTACATTTGTTTATACAAACATAATAATTGTCCGTGTAGTGACGGATTAAGAATATGGAATGACATTCCTATCCAGTAGTGATATTCCATCCTAGTCCCATTCATTGGACTAAGGTCGCAAAACAACGCAGGACACCAGACTGCAAAAAAAAACATGACACAAACCCAAAACAACCCGTCTGGCCAGCGTGGTAAAGTAGGCCAACCCTCTTTTCTTAGGAGTGGCCTATGCCCAGCAGTGGACTATTAAAGGCATTTCATGAATTAATGAAATGAAATTAAGTCAGTTACTTATTAAGGCATGATGTAAATGTTTTTTTTGTATGTGATATACTTAATTAGTTATCTATGTATGTATATTTGTTGGTATGTATAAATATGTTTTATATGTAAATAAATATCTAATTTTACCTCCTTTATATTCTTTAGTAAATAACCTGACAAAACTCATTGCACCTTCAACTACTACTGTCTCTCCGAAACATTTTGATCCACTCTAAGGTTGCCTGGAAAAGATTGATATTAGGTGTCCAAATAAAGAGTTTTCGATCCTATCTAATTAACATTATTGTTTCTATGTTCCAGGTTGATGGACTCCAAGAGGCGGAGAAGGGCAAGAACTCCTTGGGCACAACAAAGAAAGGCATTGGCCCGACGTACTCATCAAAGGCCACGCGTAACGGATTAAGAATAGGAGATCTCCTTGGAGATTTCGATATATTCGGAGAGAAGTAAGTTATCTTTCCCAATCTTATCTTTTATGCAAGGTTAGGAAAGCAATTTGGGCAATTTCATTTCCTGACCTTGTATAAAAAATGATAATGCATGTGTTGTGTGTGATTACTATTATTTTACATTGTATCGTACCTTAGACGGATTAAGAATACGGAGTGACACCATCTCAATTCATGGCTTGGGTGACGTAAGAGCCGACTAAACGGAGCAAGACACCAGCACTACAACGTGAAGGAAAATTTGAAACTAACCCTATACCAACCCGTCTGGCCAGCGTAATATAGTAGGCCAAAACCTCCTTTCTGAGGAGAGGATTATGTCAAGCAGTGGACTGCTAAAGGCTGTACTAAAAAGCGATTTAGTATCGCATATTTAGTTATCCGATACAGATTAGGGTCAGTTTTTTACCATTCAACCCAAAAAGATAGTTTTTTTTTAAGTTTTAACATTAAAAATATGATCGGTAAAAAAACTAGAAGAAATCTCTTCTATTTTTATTGTATCTTACCGTCGACAATGACGTAACGTAACATATCATACCGTAAATAAAGTAACGTATCTGGTAATGTAAGCATCGTAAAGTTAATGTAATTTCCCTTAAAACGTACCTATCGCTATCAAGACTAACCTCCAAATAACAGGAAATAACATTTAAAATCATTCATCATTCAACAATTAAAGTAAATGAAGTCAAAGAAAACTATACACCTTAACTTGAGTACTTGGTTCATCGCGGTTAAATGGCTCGCTAATCACAATTTAAATTTGTCTCTTCTCTTACAGATTCCGTACCTTAGCAGCCACTTACAAACGCATGTTCCCATCTCTAGAGGTGGATATTGAGTCTGAGCTCATCCGATACAAGGAATACGCAGAAAGAATTCGACCCATGGTCCGAGATACCGTTTCGTATCTACACAAGGCGTTGGCAGAAGGCAGGAAGGTGCTGGTCGAAGGTGCTAACGCGGCTATGCTTGATATTGATTTTGGTGAGAATAACTCTTTATTTTGACAGCTTAAATGCCCTGTACCCTTGATTTTGGGGACTCAAAAGGCTATAACGTACTTGTGAATATTGAGTTGCAGGTGTTCATGGGCGGCGGTAGTCACTCACTATCAGGCGACCCGTCTGCTCGTTTGCCCCCCTATACCATAAAATAAAAGTAGTGACTCTTCAACGGAACGATATGAAATTTTGCATACATAGGCTAATTCACATAATAAAAGTTCGATCTCAATTTAGTTCCGATCAACTTTCGATCTCACAACTGTCATGAAAGGTATTTTCGTAGTAAATTATTAAACAACCTATTATGTTATAAAATAGTAAAGTATTACTAAGACCAGCAGATTACCGATTATATTTTCGATAAAAATGCGATATAATCACATTACGGTCAACGTTGGATGTTTAATACTTTACTACGAAAATACCTTTAATGACAGTTGTGAGATCGAAACTTGATCGGAACTGAATCGAGACCGAACTAATAACGAATAAACTTAGAAACTAAAACGAAATAACGAATAAACTTAGAGTTCACTTAAAAAAAACAGGTCAACAAACTAATACTGTATATTAGTAGTTTAAACTGGGGTATCAGCATAATCTTATCGAAGTTACTTACAATTAAGTGTGATAGCTGAACAAACGTGTTCAGCTATCACACTTAATTGCTACTATTAATCGACATTGGTTGCACATGGTCATACATTTTATCTGTAGATAAGCTGTAAGTGAACTGAGTACATTATTAGTATTAACTATGTACTAGAACACCTGCTGTATGGGGTAATAATATTATACAGCAGATGCTCCGAAATCAATTAAAGGTCCTAAGAACCGATAAGAATTAGTAAAACTGTCTAATGTTCTAGTAGATTGTACCACATTAGGAAAACGCAACTATCAACAAGACCGTCATTAATCATTTGTTTATTATTTTATGGGGGTAGAATATTGTATTAAATGGGGATTGGTGAAAACTATGCTGTTTAAATATTCGCCAACTGCCTTTGAATCGAGCATTGTGAATAAGATCTCCACCAAGGACGGATCTTGGACGCATTTTATTTTACTTGACATGTTCGGAGTTAGGGCACAGCTAGAGGATTCGATCCCAGTCATATTTTAGTCCCGAAATTTTCGAGATCAAATTGAATGAATCTCGGGGTTTTTGGGATCGATACATCGAGTGGAGGAACTAACCGCAAAGATATTTAATTTTGCTTAATGATTTTCGAAAAATCTGTTTCTTGATAATGTTTCTTCAGTTAATGTTTTCATGCGGTTTTTAATTTCCTTCTGAAGCCTTTCTTTCAGTGTTAAAATTAGGAGAAGACTTATAAAAATTTAATGACGATTCCTGTAACTTCCATCTAGTCTGAACGCGCTTTTTCAGCACCTGCATATGCGTGCAACAAATTGAAAAGTATGCTTGAAGATGAGACGTTGGATTCGTTGTCAGTTCTAAGATTTTATTTTTGTGGTTTACAAAAGTAGTTTATAAAGTTTCTGGTCAATTTAATCTAAAAATACGAATATAAACTTTACATTGATCTCTGTAGCATATAGTTTTTATTATAGTTTACATAAATAAGTCTGACGCAGTATATTTTTTGAAAGTTTAGTTATTAATTTTACTGATTATTTACAGAAGTTCCTTGTTTGTTTATTTTATGAAGTTTGGAGTGTAATTTTGTTTAACCAGTTTTTTGACTTTAAATATATTGCTAAAAGATCAAATTTAAAAGCAAAAAGATAAATACCTACCAAACTAAAATGAGATAGAAAGTGTTTTTGTTACATCTTTCCATTACCAATACAATCCCAGAATCCCAAGATCAACTGTAGATAATCTCGAAATCCCAGGATTAGTAAAATGGACCCGGATCGAATTGTCTAGGCACAGCAGAACTGCTCTAATTGTTTCAGCTACTCGACTCAAGAAACATATCTATTCAACAAATATTTTAATCAATAGTGGCCAGAAATTTCCAGAACTCCTAGGAGTTAGCAAAGAAAAAAGACTGTATGAGGCATCTAGTGTTTTTGACCCATAGCTTTTCGCGCCCTTAGTATAAACAATATCGTCGTGTGTTATTATTTCAAGTAATTTTTCAGATTTGATAGCTTTTAATCTTGGCCACTTATAATCTAAGCCAACGTAATCTTAAACCTTCGCATTCAAATCTAATTATTACAAATTATATTGACGGGACTTAACACGTATTTAAGAGACTTTCCATGTCTTTGATTTATCTGACTTTTCAAGCTGGGCTTCAATTCTGCTATTTTATGTTAACGTACAAGCCACTGTTTTTCCTTCGACACGCTGTTGAGATGCCATTAACATCGGTATTCTACTAACATAAATTCACAGTGTTAATAGACTGCGATGTAGTGGCAATGACTAATTAATGCTGATATCAACACCTTATCGTTTAAATAATTGCAGGTACATATCCGTATGTGACCTCATCAAACTGCAGTATTGGTGGTGTGTGCACCGGCCTGGGTCTGCCGCCCAAAGTGATCGGTGAAGTGATCGGTGTCGTAAAGGCTTATACGACGCGTGTCGGCGATGGACCATTCCCTACTGAATTACATGACGTTAGTATTATTGTTTATAGCGAATATTTGTATCTAGATGAATTACCTGATCAAGAAAGAAAAATCAAATCATTAACTGAATACTGTTAACTCTAAAGATAGTGAATTACGTGCTTTGTTCACACATACTCAAGTGATTTTTATTAATAGGGTAGATTTATTATTACAAAGTATTTTAAGTATAAAATCGGTATAAACATGTTACATACATGTATACATAGTTTAATCATCAAAATAATATGGATTTTTTTAAGTAGTCTTTTATTTTGGAGTGAATATATTTTAACCTTTTAATCAAAATCTTGAGTAAAAAAAAATACTCACAAGAATCATAGTCTCATGCATGTTGACTTTATTTCAAATGCAATTTTAGTTTCATCAGTTAATTCTGAATGTTAAGATTTAATGTAATGAGACCATTCATACCATGCTGCTGTCGTGTCTAGAGGTGTTGTCCTAGTCAGTCGAATGGGTGACAGCGGTGATGTAATACACAAATATCCTCCCCCCAGGAGACAGGCCAGCTGCTGCAGGAGCGCGGGCACGAGGTGGGCGTGACTACACGCCGCGTGCGGCGCTGCGGCTGGCTCGACCTCGTCGTCGTGCGATACACCGCCATGGTCAACGGATACACGTCGTGAGTACATACTCTCTGTTACACTCAGTAGCTGCATATAGAAATGGATAAAGTGGCTCTTTGCTCGATATGATACCAACGACCCCTAATTTTTTTTTTTATTGCATAATTGTCGATTGCATATGGTCATACATTGATGCTTTTTTTGAATAATAACTTTATTACTCTCATAAGGTACAGTAGGTTACAGAGTATCGTAATTACATGTATTAAAAAATAAATAACCTGCTGTATTAAAAAATAAATGCCTTAGTTTGAGCTGGTGTCTATACTACGGTAAACCTGTATCACAAATTTCTAGGCCCACCCTACGGCCGAAGAATATAAATTATGAATAACTTAAAAACAGAGACAAAGAAAATATAAACTATGGTAAATATATAATTATATTATAGTCCATTTAATCTTAGAGGTACCGTTTGACGTTGCATACTTTTCAAGACAAAACAACTGTGTATAGGCGTAACTCACACAATTTCAATATATTTTTCCTAAAACCAAGGAATTATGAAGCAATTTTTGTTTTATCGCAAGATGTACAATTTTTAATGACTAAATTTAATAGAAGCTTTTAAACAGAGCAAAATGACCAATTTATACACAATAATCATTTTTTTAACTTCGTTTCAAAGTCACATAGTTTAGTCCTTTACCGTAGTGTTGAGGCTCTTCAAATTTACTTGAATACGAATAATCGTTAAAATGTATGAAAAATGGAATTTATTACTAACGCGTCATTTTAAACCCAGACATCTTAGTGTTTAACAATACTTAAAAAAAGAATTTTGAAAATCGGTGCACAATTGACAAAGTAATCGATCAACATACATAAAAAAAATACATACAGTGGAACATAGAACCTCCTCCTTTTTTGAAGTCGGTTAAAAACTCATCTGACATCCAACTTTCGAAAGGATATGACAATGATGATGATGATTATTTAGGAATAATTTTATTTATTTAGAATTAAAAGTATGTAAGTTATGTAATTTTAAATAAATCTTTGTAGACATAATTGCTCGTATCCAAGTCTAGTTAGATTTACTAGTAAAATCTTTGATGTGTTAACACACGGGATTTCATAGTACCATACATAACTCTGTAAAACTGTAACCGATTAGTACGCACTAAGAAATGATATCGATATCACTTAAGAATCGGATATTGTAATAATCGATTTCTTGAACCCCATCGCAACTGTCATTATGGTACTTTCGTAGTAAAATATTAAAGTATTACTAAGACTAGCGGATTACCGATTAAATTTTCTGTTAAAAAACGAATAATTACATTACAGTCAACGTCGGATGTTTAATAACTTACTACGAAATTACATTTATGATAGTTGTGAGATCGAAAGTTGATCTTAACTGAATTGAGACTGAACTTTTATAACGAGAATTGGCCTAAAGGTCTTAAAAATTGTTAACAATAATTCAAAGCTGTATAATGTTCTATTAGATTATATCACATTAAGAGAATCGCTAATAACAAAATACCGCACGTTGTACATACATTAGTCAATTTTAATTTGTATAGGGTAGAATATATTAAATGTTTATTGGCTGACTGTTAAATATACAATTTGCCAACTGCCTTTGAATTGCACCTTGTGAAAAGGAATTTACCAAATACACATTTGTAAATAACAAAATATTGTAAATGTGTGTAAATTTCAGTATATGCCTGACAAAGTTGGACATCCTGGACACAATGAAAGAGATCAAAGTGGGCGTGGCTTACAAACTTAACGGCAAGATCATCGACTATTTCCCCTCGTCCATGGCCGAACTTAGCAAAGTTGAGGTTAGCGATCGCACATTTATATAAACAGAATTTTATTGATATATTAACCTATATCGTCTTCTCTCTCGTTCCATTCCTATGATATGTATATTGTATTTTTTTTTTAAACCATGTAGCTTATTTTCGGGAAACGTCAACATAACTTTTGCAGCATAAAAATACACAGTTTCTGTCTATTTGTTATAGTTTTAGAAAAGAAACAGCAAACAAAATGTACATACATGGATATACTATGTCATGATGGAGGATGTATAGATATGTAGTGTCACATGTTCTTTATCCAACATAACATGTATTTTATTTACTCTTTTGTCCTTTTGTTTTAACAAAATGTAAAAACATCTTTCATATAAAAGTGCGTAAGTGCAGGTTAGTGCATGATATATACCAGATACCTTTCCTTTAAGTAGAATAAAAGAAGAAAATTCATTGCATCATCCCAAAAATGTTGGGAAAAGTGTAGGATGATGATGAAGACCGGTCCCAACCTAAAACAGTATAAATAAAAGCCTTGTAATCGTTTTTATGAATTCAAATATGATTTCTGTTAACCAGAAAAAATGGAATATGTTAAGTTACCCACAATTAATGAGCATCTGGGGAAAATCCATCAAGTTCAGTAATAAATAAGAGTATTTATAACAGGTCGAATATGTGACGTTACCGGGCTGGCAATGCAATATTGAGGACTGCCGGAGTCTGGACAAATTGCCCGAACTCGCCAAAAATTACGTGAAGGCCATCGAGGACTACCTAGACTTACCTGGTAAGTTTTTTCACTTCTATGCTTAAAATACATAAAGCTATTTTACGGTTGTTTAGTTTTATCCCATACATATTTTCAGTTATGTGTAGATAATTTGTTATTTATTTATATTAAATTATGCACGTGGTGCTTACCAACAAAAGTTGTGCCCTCAGATTAAGTATAATAACTATATTCTATTTTGTAATTAATTAATGTTTTTGTTTAATCTCTGTCATATAAGCGGCGGTAGCATAATAACTAAGACGATGGACTTGTGATCAACTAGTTGCATGTTCGAATCTCACCCTTTAATGCATTCTGACGTAAAGTAAAGCTCCTAACCCATGCATTTAGTTTAGCTAGAGGTGTAGAAGAATATTACTAGTGTGTCTTTCGAGCCTTTTTCCAAACTTGGTTAGCGTCTATTTCAAGTCTATTACAATACGGTTGAACTTCGACTTTTTACGCTCAGCAAATGCGATCAGACCTCCACAACTCAAGTACTAGGCGATATCGAAGTTTTGTTGAAAGACTTTTAGGGGATTTAACTACAGATGTTGCCACAGATGTTCGTATGGCTTAACGTGCTCTCCGTGGCACGGAGAGGTCTCAATGTGTTAAGAATGGTCATCCATCCATACACTGACCTGGCTAGGATTGCTTAACTTTGTAATGTGTTAATCTACTCGGTTACTACTTAGCCAAGTCCACCTCCATGGTAACGAGTCTCGCTGACGTGTAACTGACGTTATTAGTATTCTTTGTTTGTGTGGTATCTTAAAAATAATCATAGCGTTCATGTCTATATTTATATCCGATAGCAATGATAACATAATAGTAGTGACGCAATACCTGGGGTTATTTGGCTATGCCCCAATAAAACACTCTCCAGACTAGTCGTAATGTATATTTGTACAGTACGTTTGTTTATAGAGAGACTACGATTCTATAATCGTGTGTATCTATAGAGATATAAGCATAAAGAGAACACAGGGTAGAGCTGCCAGAAGCGATACAGGCAAAAAGAGAGGTGGATGCTCCATAGTTCCCTCTGTCTCTGTTTAGCTAACTGCGATTGGCTATCGTGATGTGGGCATGGTTTTGATCGCAGAACAGGCGGGAGATTAGAAATTTCCCCAATCAACCACAGAGCTCGACTAGAAAGAGATACCGAAAACTATCGTTTATCCATCGTTGCCTATATTGCAAGATTGGGGCTCTTGTTCACTCTGTTTATATCTCTATGACTACGATAATAAAATACTACATTTTCGCAATCATTGTGGCTTTCGAAAGCAAGTAGAAAATTTGTGGTTCTCTATACATTTATTACTCATGTACAGAGGAAATCGACTTGTTGATTATACCATACATACAATAAGGCATTATAATTATAGTTGATAAACACCCATAGACAAAAGACCTTGTACTTCATACCTCAGCCTTACCTGAGTACTTTAAACAATGACGTGGTAAAGAGCCCTTTCCATAATCAAAAAGTCAGTGAAAATAATAACTATTCAGTTCACTAGTTTTTTAAGACAGTTAAAAAAATGAATGAGTGTAAAATGTCCATTTAACCAGTTATCTTACAGTGATGTATTTTTGTTCCAGTGAAATTTATCGGTGTGGGGCCCGGACGAGACAGTATCGTCAGCGCGCATTAATACCACTGCACCAGTGTGGTCTCCTACAGTTATTTCCTATTACTATTAATGTATGTACCTAGGAACGTTTAACGCTACTTACTATAGCAATTACTATAATGCGATCTTGGATTTGGGCAAGGTTTCACAAGAATTACATTTATTTGCCTAGCAAAATTATTTTCCTTCTCAAGTATGACCCAGCCAAATTAGATTCGCAAGCAAATCTGTTAAAAAGTATTAAATACATATGCATATGTATCTTTATAGTACATCTTCTATTTCTATAAGTGTCGAGGTGTATGCTAATTGAATATTCGTAACAACACAACACAATATGTGATATCTAAATTTCATTACTGAGATATTTTCTTCCAAAATACTCATGCCATAAATGCTCTGGTATTTTATTCAAGAAGAATACCCCAAAAGGACAATTGCCTGCACTCTTTTTTCCCTATGACTAAATGGTAATTAAATTTCAAAATATCAAAAAGAGCCTTGAGTATTTTAATTTGCAAAGTATTGTGCGGTTTAGAGCAAAAATGTGGATTACAAGTCTTAGTATCACAGCCAATGTTACATTGCTGAACAGAAACCTCTCGTAAAGAAATTCAGGGCTTAATACTCGTACTAAACATGGAATTAATAAATAAAATAAATGTCTGAAATAAAATAGGGACTTAACTGACAACCTGTCATTGTTTTTTCTGCTAGTCTTATAAAGTCCATTAAACTTTATTAATCAAAAAATGAACCTTGATTGAAGACAATATAATACAAAGTGCCAGCCTGAGCACATAAGGCATTAGCCACTAAACACCGTATTCATATAATGAGAGAAATATATAGAAATATATAAATATATATATTTCTTCTTTTATATTAATCATATTTTAAAGAATCACTATGTATTAAATTTATACTGTTCACAATCAAGTAGTATTTATTTATTTTGGATTTATTCTTTTTTAAAATTACGTTTCAACTAAAAAATAATGCCATTTGTAGCAGACTATACATACAAGAATTGTATATTGCAATCGACCTGCAGAATGTTTTGTCTGTATTACAATTTATAGTAATGTTTTGTTATAACTAAACATGAAAAACTTAACGGAATTGAATAAAATACTAGACAGTATATACTCAAATACATTTTATATACACAGTGTAATGATTTAATGACTACAAAATGCAATGACTTGCAATATATTATAGATTTATGCTTAAATCGTGTTCCTTGTATTTATAGTAAATATAAAATTATTTGAATTTTTTTATTGTTAAAATGTGGAAAAACTGCTCGTTGATTAAACATTAATACGTGCGAAGTGTTATATACGCAAATAGCTATATTGCTATATTATTATGAAGCTTTATTATTAACAATAAAACGTTGGTTTTAAAATGACTTTGCAGAATATCGAATATGAACGACATGAGCGACTAAAATGGGAACTAAATAAATAATTCTGAAAGTTGAAGTTTCATGTTCAACCATGTTAATACAGTGGATATTGTGATATAAGAAATGAAATGAATATTAAATATAGTAACTCTACAATGTTCAACGCCAACCATTAGTTATCATTTTATCACATATTCTATAATCAAATTGTATTTATTAAATTTAGGTGCTTAAATATTCAATTTGCACTATTTGGGATTAAAAACATTTTTATGAGTGCTATTCATATATGTCTTAAAAATACATAAAGTTGTACACAGGTGTGTAGTTTGGGACTGTCTGTCTGTCAACAACTTGTTGCACATTATTTTAGTAATTTGCTTGGTTAGCGAGTTCCTTCGTAACAGTACACAGGCATAGTAGGTACATGTACATCATGGTATTCTAGTTCTTATAGTTTAATTTAGTTAATAATTATTAAAATCTGCATTGACAGTATGTATTGCATTGTTTTATATTACAGTTTGGATTCTAGTACTAAAGTAACCGTTTTCATCACTAATTTGAAATAAATAACTCATTTTACAGCAATACTAGGATTAATATAATGGTGCATTAGAAATATTGTGACAGAACTATAAAGTATTATTATAAAGACATCAAGGTTTAATTATTCATATGTGTTTTATAAAGTATTTTAATATAATGGAATATAAAATACTTCTACTGCAGACAGTTGGTTCTTTAGGCAAATGGAGAGATACTGTTACAAAGCTATATGAATAGGAAAAATATACAATTGTGCAGATAATATGAGGCTTTTTATAAGAATGTCTCGAGTGTATTTAGTGTATGCCTTCTTAAGTATGATCACACCTTTATAGAGGTCTGTACAAAGAGCAGTATATACATTAGGTGGCAATGTAGAATTGTACCGGCAAACTGTTAGCACACTAACCAAGTAAAAGCAAGAAACGGACTATCGCAATCAACAAGTAAACTTTACCGCTATGAAGTTATCACATTATCAATGCTATCATACCAACATCGTCAAGCAAAAAACAGACATTTATAACTGCCGATTACAACAATAAAGTCCTTTTTTATCTGAATGTATAGATAACAACTTTAAGTTGGCAGAGTTTACTTGTTTGTTCAATGAAGGAGGGGGTTATTGTGTGTTACACGAAATGCTAGAATTTAGTTTTATGTTCTAAAGAATTGACTGCATTATTGCACAAACGAAACATATAATCTTTTTATTACTCTAACATTGTTTGAAATCGAATACTTCTTTTTACTAACATTTTGCGTTTAGGGCTAATTTTCGTCTTTTAACACTGAAGAAAGAGCGAAGCTTAGACACTATTTGATTTGTAACGATTTTACAAAGGGCCCATTCCAAAGATCTTTTGACATTAAATATTGTATGTACTTATTTAACTATAATCATTTCGCTTCTACATTCTGTGAGTGGTGTTTTTATGTGATATAATTTTGTATAAATTAATAAAGATGTATACATTAATATAAAGTTAGAATTATATTAATGTATGTATTTCATAACAGTTAATATGCCAATAAAACGGTTTATTCTTTTATGTGTTTCTTTTATTTTAACCGACGATAGAACATACATACATTACACAAACGTCTTTTATCTATGAGGCGGTAGACAGAGATAGACGACATCATCAACGACGAGAAATCTATAACAATATTTTTGGGAGGTTTTTATGTACTAGTATTTTTATGTTTTTATAAACAAATTGAGGGAAGGGTATCATATTTGGAATACTTAACGTTTATACATACGTTGAAGTGCACAAAGCTAAAATTTTACGAATGTGTGCTATGTATAAAGTGTGTGCGTTACCCCAGCAAAATAATGTCGAAAATGGTCATTTAAACTTTATAGATAATTAGTTGCTCCCCTTCTGTAATTGTTAAGCACATTTTTAAATTTGTTTCACTTAAACTTTTTTAGTTATTTCAAAAAAACATTTCCTGCTGGAGTAACGTTTGAAACGTTACCGCAGCCAGACATTTTCTTTTTTAATTGTAATATTGAAATAAATTTTAGCTAAATAATTAGTTATCTGGACTAGGTAAATGTTACAACTTATTTGGTATTTGTATTTTCTTCGGTTGCGAAGTTATTCGAAATCCTGCTGGAGTAACGTTTGTGGGTTTGCTGGATCTCTGAAACGGGTAAGCGGATTGTAACCATCTTTTGTACATAACTTCTTAAGGATTAGTTTTAATTTGTTCGACAATAAAATAACAAAAATAATGGACCGTTTAAAAACTATTTAGGTAAGTATGAAAACACTTAAATACGTCCTAACACTTTAAATAAGACCTCTTAAGACTTACTTGAAACGTTATTCTATTGCTTGTAACTACCTTCAAATGTATACGAATTTTCGTAAGAATACTGTAAGTGACTAAAAAGTTATGATGAAATGTAGCTCTCCACGTTCACGATCACAATGTGTGCGGCCTTTTTTGGCCACCGATAAACCTGTGTGTGGATATATAAACTGAATGTTATGCCAATAATTAGTTGTTTAGTTCAGTTGTCTACCTGTAAAATTTCAGCGTAGTACATATAATAATTTACGAGATAATTAAATAAAAGTCATTAGAAGGTGCAAGACCGTGGTAACCCGACCATGTTTAGGTGGTTACAAAAAAGCGATCACCCAGTACATTGTGCTGGCTTTTAAAATATGTAGGATATTATTTGCAAGTTTACTACGGATATGTACATAAGTGTTACAAAAAACTACATGTTTTAGAAATATTTTTTATTTAGGATTGTTTATTGCATAATTAGTAATCAGCCGGGAGATTAGGTATTATTTTGAATGCTTTTGTTTTCTCGTAATGTTTAGGTGAATTGTTTATAGTTGTTCATAGAATTGGTACCTGCGTAGTATTTGTTAATAGAAGTTTAATTTTAGGGTAGGTATAGGTAATTTAAGAAATATGAAATGAAATGATAAGTTTTGAAGAGTGTAACGTATGCGTTGTAAATAGGTATTTTGTGAATAGATGGGGATTTTTTTAAGTGATGAATCGACTTAGGCTAGCATATCGCGAACAAACTCTGTATTGCATTATTTCTGTAATAATGTTGGAGAAAATAAAATATTTGATCACAAAATCGCGGTGAGTTAAATTATAATAAAATAAATTATTTATGTAAAATTAGTAATAAGTGATATACCTACCTAAAAGATGATCGTTGTCTACCTAAAAGATGGTCGTACCTATGATCGTTTTTAATTTGTTCACCCTGAACGAAATTTCAATATTAGCATTAGTAATTAATATCCTAAGACAAGAATTGACAATTACTTAAATTGAATCGAATTAGCATTAATGCCTATTATTAGTAATTAGGTACACACATATTGAAGAACTCTCAAGAATACGATAAATATTTGCAAAAATAGAAAGCGGAAGCGCACACGTACTTTACAACACGTATATTATCTGCCTAAGGGTCAAGTTTAGTGCACTAGATGCAAATTGCAAACAATGAAGTATCCCTTCGCCCCTCCCCTCCCGCGTTCTAGCGAAGGATGTATTATCAGCGATTCTTGATTGACAAATATTATCTGACCAATAATTTTATCTATAAAAATGTATCACTTTCACTCGATAAATTAAATTACCGTTAGTATATCAAAATATCATTCAACAACTGTTCGTTTTTAACAGAAATCAACAGTAACGGGCTCAACGCTTAACGGTAGGTACATAGGTATAGATAATTCTCGGTTCTAGGTATAGACCACAGAACAATATTACCTACTCTTACGAGGTATACGTCTGTTGGGCGATGCAATGTTGATGCATTCTAATTTACAACTGTATTCTTCTACTATTCGGTCTATTTTAACTTATTGTAGATAACTTGTTGCTTTAAATATTTTGATGCATTCAAGTCTAAGCTCTATACACCCCAAAATAAAATACAATTACTTTAGTGTTATTTCTTTACAAAAAAAAATCAAAGAAATGAAACGATTTCTTATTGGTTTAAATTTTAGTTTTATTGCAGTCAGGTGAATCGTTCATACATGTATCTACATATTTATAATTTTAGCGGACCAGTGCAGATTTTCTGTTGATTGTAGCTCCGGTAGTAAAAAAGACTAAATTAATTTTAAGTAAAGAAACTAGTGCGTAAGATCAATTAGGGAAAAAAACAAAATAAATAATAGGTAATAATAATGAATAAATATTGAATGTATTTAACACTGTACGCAACTGTACCGAAATCGTAAGGTGTATTACACTAAACATTTTAAAAGACAGCGCAATGTACTGGGTGATCGCTTTATTGTAACCACCTAAACATGGTCGGATTACCACGGACTTGCACCCTCTAATGACTTTTATTTAATTATTTCGTAAATTATTATATGTACGACGCTGAAATTCTACAGGTAGACAACTGAACTAAACAACTAATTATTGGCATAACATTCAGTTTATATATCCACACACAGGTTTATCGGTGGCCAAAAAAGGCCGCATACATTTTGATCGTGAACGTGGAGAGCTACATTTCATCATAACTTTTTAGTCACTTACAGTATTCCTACGAAAATTCGTATACATTTGAAGGTAGTTACAAGCAATAGAATAACGTTTCAAGTAAGTCTTAAGAGGTCTTATTTAAAGTGTTAGGACGTATTTAAGTGTTTTCATACTTACCTAAATAGTTTTTAAACGGTCCATTGTTTTTGTTATTTTATTGTCGAACAAATTAAAACTAATCCTTAAGAAGTTATGTACAAAAGATAGTAACAATCCGCTTACCCGTTTCAGAGATCCAGCAAACCCACAAACGTTACTCCAGCAGGATTTCGAATAACTTCGCAGCCGAAGAAAATACAAATACCAAATAAGTTGTAACATTTACCTAGTCCAGATAACTAATTATTTAGCTAAAATTTATTTCAATATTACAATTAAAAAAGAAAATGTCTGGCTGCGGTAACGTTTCAAACGTTACCCCAGCAGGAAATGTTTTTTTGAAATAACTAAAAAAGTTTAAGTGAAACAAATTTAAAAATGTGCTTAACAATTACAGAAGGGGAGCAACTAATTATCTATAACGTTTAAATGACCATTTTCGACATTATTTTGCTGGGGTAACGCACACGTATAAAGTTGTGTGTAATGTTGATCGATCATGGTACAGTTTACATAGCGACAGTTCAAGTTTATACAGTCATAGTTTTCTAAACAATAAGCCAGGGCGGTGCCTCAGAAAACCAGTGTTTTCCGTCAGATTAAATTATTAGATCAATAATTAGATCTCAACAGTATTGCAAGACTTGGCTTTTTTATGTTTTAAATTATTGTTGGGATAAATTTTGGTCTGTCGCTCAATCAATACGATCTAAATTTGGAGTGTGTGGAATGTTTCACAAAGAAACTTATGTACCGCAAATGAGTACTAAATGTCATCCATGTATCGGATTTTGGTCCAATATTTTAAAAATAGCAAGATTCTTATAACAAACAAACAAGTAGACGGGTTACCTCATGGTAATTGGTTGGATGGAATTCCGTGTGGTGACGGTTGAAGAATAGGGACTGTCACCACCTCTATTCATCCCGTGAGTGTCGTTAGAGACGACTAAGGGAGCTAACTACTTAGGACAACAGCACTGCAAGGAGAAAGAAAACTTGACTCAAACCTATACCAACCAACTGGCCAGCGTGGTATAATAGGCCAAAACCTCTTTTCTAAGGAGAGGCCTATGTCCATGTCCAGCAGTGGTACTATTAACGGTTGTTGATGATGATGATGATGTGGGTATCACTACAGTCGAGCCAGCACATACATGCATAAAATAGTAAAAAAAAAACTACAAGATAAAGCAGTATATGTCTTTAATTTCATATTCAATTATTAACTACTTCAGTCATATAGAATTAGATACCTACAATAAATGACTATATACACTAAAAATGTCGATACATGTATTTTTATACATCGATATATACCGCGATTGCGGTGAGACCTCATTCAAACAATAGGTAGTCACAGGACTTGTGTGATGATATTTTACACACTCATAAAATGTACTCACATACAAAAATTTCAAAAGATATTAAGGAAAGATATCAATTGCTTAAAAGCCCCTCAACCCCCGCCCTTCGGACTTAATATTGTCATTATGTATCAAAGTACATGTTGCCATTAAACTAAGTCATTTGATGTTTTGAAAACAAAAGTGTTATCTTACATAAGAAGATATGATCAACATAGGGGCTTTATATGGCGTTATCTGTAGACCTCTAATAGACACCTTCATGTAAGGTGTGTGAAGGAATTTTGTCTATGTCTTTCAATGTTACCAGAAGAAAATTATTATTACCATTTGGTAAAAAGATAAACAATTTTTTGTACTGGCAGGTCTGGGAGAACATGTAGTCAGTTTTTGAGCTTTATTTTATAGATTCAATGAAAATGTTTATTACTTATACTTTAAAAGTTAGCTTTTTTTAGGTGGGTTTTTATTGAGCGATTATCTTTGAATAATCTTTGAATCATGAGTGTCAGTATGCTTTGTTTATTTATTCTTTAGAGGGACTAATGGACTAAAATATAAAAGCTTGTATATATTGTCAACAGGGGCAGATTATAACAATAGTGTTATTATCAAATCCTGGATAAGACTAGAACAGGAGCGCGAAAAATGGCACTAACATGGAGAGAATACCTACTTAATTATATGCGGATAAGTTGAAGTAAAAATTGAATGTTTTAAATAATGCCAACTATTGAGAGTGATAAGTTTTTTACACGCACGTTTATTTAATAACAATAACTGTCATAACGACACCAATTCATATACCAATGTCAAATACTTGAAAAATATATATACATGTATCATTTCACGTGTCTGTTGTGTATGACTTTTCTATCACAATTATCTTCCTGTTCGCGTAAAAGTGTCACAAACAAACAAAAACCCAGGTTTTTAGGGAATCAAATAGCGCACGCTCATTAGTCAAATCAAATGGCCTGCGTTTCACCTGCTTCCTGTTACACACTTCCGTTCCTTTTCACGAAATGACTCTCACAGAAAAGAGACAGATATTTATTAATCCTAACTAATATAATAAATGCAAAAATGAGTTTGTTCGAAACGCTTTCACGCTTTAACCCATTTGCTTCAGTATCAAACGCTTAACCGATGTTTAAATCAAGATTAATGAAAAAAATATTATTGACAAAACCTTGATGTATTTATGCATTGTTAGCTTTTAGTAGCTTAATGCAAATTATCTGTTGTATTTGACTTTAAATGGGTTCCATATGTAAGTGCATGATTGTGCATATCTTTTTTTTCTAAACCTTTTCTAGGGAAATTAAAATTAATAGCGCAGAATGGTTTTAAAACAGTAATAACTTGCAAATGTGTGAGTAAAGACGCGTATTATTCGCAATTGGCACACATGTGAACCTAAACAGGTCATTAGTTTGCCGTGTATACCATGAGAACAATCCAATTAACTTGTCAGCCTAAATCAAACTAGCTTCCCATTAGGTATTTTTCATTTCATACATAAATTGCAAAATAACAATAGTCTACAATAAAATAGAACCAGCAAATCTTAAATTATTTTGTCATACATGATAAAATACAGTCAAAATCAATCTTTAATCCCTTGTATTAGGGGATATATTCCGTTCCCGTTTATTCTTAGACTTGGGAGGGGCACGGTGTCGATCTCGCTTACGGCTTGACGATGAGCAGGACGATGAAGGGCTAGAGTCTGGAGGCGAGCCAGCTTCTTCAGCTGTGAGGCCCATGCTCTGCGACTCAGGAGTGGATGGCTCAAGCACACTGTTGCGGAGAGCCCGGCGTTGTTCTTCTGTGTGTTGGGGGCAACGAGTTGATCTGTCAAAGAAAATTATTAGATAGCTTTGAAAAATATTGTGTGATTTAAAACTAAAGTTCTGACAGAGTGATCATTGTGAAAAATTATCTAACATCACGCCGTTAACCTCAGGAGCGTAGCAGTAACCATAAACGCATATGGAAATATAGGGAACGACTAGGTAGTGATCTTAGCTGCTTAGCCAGAGGTGGTGAGATCGATTACCACCCAGGATGAATAATTGGGTGAATAGCACGATCTTTCTACTGCGTCTGCCAAGCTTCGCTGTTGCACATTATGGTTGTACGAGGGGTGATCAATAAGTAATGATAATCGAGTATTTCTAGAACGCACAAAAACCCAAATTATTTTTTTTCTGCTTGCTTATATATCCACTACTTCAGCTTCAAAAAAATGTATAAATAGGACACCATTACCGGGAGATACATTCATTTGAATACGAACTGTCGAAGAGAAAACATCAAAATGGAGAAAAATGAAATAAGAGCTGTCATCAAGTACCTCTGCCTGAAAAAAAATGTCTACCAAAGACATACACAGCGACTTAGAGGAAACATTGGGGGAGTCTGCTCCTCCATATTCCACAGTCGCACGCTGGGCAAAGGAATTTAAGCTGGGCAGAACCTCCACTGAAGATGAACATCGCGAGGGACGCCCTTCCATGTCCCTTACTGGAGAAAACGTCAAAAAAGTGGAAGATATCGTGTTGGCCGATCGAAGGGTGACCGTAAGGCATGTAGCTGAGGTCACAGGGATCTCCTATGGCAGCGTTCAAAAAATCATTGTCAACAAAATGCATATGAAAAAGGTCTCTGCGCGTTGGGTACTGAGAATGTTAACCGACGAGCAAAAAAAGAAACGAGTCGACATTTCGAGGGTGAATCTTCAAAAGTTCCAGGCCGATAAAGAATTTTTTTTGTCGCGTTTTGTGACCATGGACGAGACCTGGATCCACCACTTTGATCCCGAAACGAAACAACAATCAATGACTTGGAAACGAGCTTCCTCACCAACGCCGAAGAAATTCAAAGTGTCAAGTTCAGCGGGCAAGGTTATGGCGTCTGTTTTCTGGGATGCAGAAGGAATTATTATGGTGGAATATTTGGAAAAGGGGGCCACTATAACAGGCTCTTACTACGCAGGCCAAATAAGAAGATTGCGAGAAGCTATTAAGTCAAAAAGACAAATAATTTTTTTCTAAGGGAATCATGGGCTTAGAAAAAAGATACACTAAATGTATTAACTTGCAAGGAGACTATGTTGAAAAATAAAATACTTTTTTTAATCTACGAGGGGTGATCAATAAGTAATGATAATCAATATGAAACAGAACTATTAGATTAAAAAAAGTATTTTATTTTTCAACATAGTCTCCTTGCAAGTTAATACATTTAGTGAATCTTTTTTCTAAGCCCATGATTCCCTTAGAAAAAAATTCTTTGTCTTGACCCTCCCAAAATGCCTCTACTGCGGCCATCACTTCACTATTGTCCTCAAATTTGTTGCCCCGGAGGTGTTCTTTGAGCCGAGGAAAGAGGTAGAAGTCACTGGGAGCTAGATCTGGCGAATAGGGAGGGTGTTCGAGCAGTTCGAACCCCGTTTCTTCAATGGCAGCCATCGCAACTGCGGCTTTGTGAGCCGGGGCGTTGTCTTGGTGAAACAGCAGTCCAGCGCGCAGTTTACCGCGTCTTTTTGACTTAATAGCTTCTCGCAATCTTCTTATATGGCCTGCGTAGTAAGAGCCTGTTATAGTGGCCCCCTTTTCCAAATATTCCACCATAATAATTCCTTCTGCATCCCAGAAAACAGACGCCATAACCTTTCCCGCTGAACTTGACACTTTGAATTTCTTCGGCGTTGGTGAGGAAGCTCGTTTCCAAGTCATTGATTGTTGTTTGGTTTCGGGATCAAAGTGGTGGATCCAGGTCTCGTCCATGGTCACAAAACGCGACAAAAAATAATCTTTATCGGCCTGGAACTTTTGAAGATTCACCCTCGAAATGTCGACTCGTTTCTTTTTTTGCTCGTCGGTTAACATTCTCGGTACCCAACGCGCAGAGACCTTTTTCATATGCATTTTGTTGACAATGATTTTTTGAACGCTGCCATAGGAGATCCCTGTGACCTCAGCTATATGCCTTACGGTCACCCTTCGATCGGCCAACACGATATCTTCCACTTTTTTGACGTTTTCTCCAGTAAGGGACGTGGAAGGGCGTCCCTCGCGATGTTCATCTTCAGTGGAGGTTCTGCCCAGCTTAAATTCTTTTGCCCAGCGTGCGACTGTGGAATATGGAGGAGCAGACTCCCCCAATGTTTCCTCTAAGTCGCTGTGTATGTCTTTGGTAGACATTTTTTTCAGGCAGAGGTACTTGATGACAGCTCTTATTTCATTTTTCTCCATTTTGATGTTTTCTCTTCGACAGTTCGTATTCAAATGAATGTATCTCCCGGTAATGGTGTCCTATTTATACATTTTTTTGAAGCTGAAGTAGTGGATATATAAGCAAGCAGAAAAAAAATAATTTGGGTTTTTGTGCGTTCTAGAAATACTCGATTATCATTACTTATTGATCACCCCTCGTAATAGTTCTGTTTCATATTGATTATCATTACTTATTGATCACCCCTCGTATTGATGAGAAGTGAGGAGCAAAACGGAATTAAAAAAAATCATCAACAGCCTTTAATAGTCCACTGCTGGACATAAGCCTCTCCTTAGAAAGGAGGTTTTGGCCTACTATACCACGCTGGCCAGACGGGTTGGTATAGGGTTTGTGTCACCGGATGTCTTAATAACAGCTGTTCCCGGATCCCTCCTGTTACAGGCGCAGAGTGGCACACCGTGTGGTTTTAGTCGGTCCGAGTCCGACACACCACCCCGCCGCAAACCCCGGTGGGGTGACGGTCCGAGGGGATTTCCACACGTTAAAAAAAAAAAAACAAAAAAAAAAAAAAAGGGTTTGTGTCAAGTTTTACTTCTCTCTGCAGTACTGTCGTCCTGCGTAGTTTTTTCCCTTAGTCGGCTCTTACGACACCCACGGGATGAATAGGGGTGGTGACACTCTGTATTCTAAATCCGTCACCACACGGACCTCCGGACCGTCGGACTCAAAAAAATAGATGAAAACAATTTTTGAACCGTATTGTATATCGTGTCAAAATTTAAGCTCAATCGGTATAGAACTTTTTTAATTTTTTGAAGCGTATATACACCAACTTAATATTTCTATAATATAATAAATGTATAAGTTCAGTAGTCTGGTTTTGTATAGTTTGGGATCAGATGGTGGTATGTGAAAAGTTTATTTAAACACATCATGTATTGCAACTCTTAAATCTCTAATTAGTTACTATCTATTGTAATATAAAATCTGTCATGGTTTGTACGTAAGTCCGTTAGTACATCTTACGGACTTATGTACAGGCAAAATTAGTTTAGGACCAAGTACAGTTCCAGAGAAAAATTGGTACACATAGGCATATAAAAGTGTAGAATGTAAACAACGATTTTGACTGCACTGATGACATAGTGGTTTAAGCAATTGTTGTTCTGAACCTGCGTGTTCTTTGTGTCCGTTTCTAGATTTTATTTTATTTATTTATTAAGGTTTACCAACAATTGTTTACATCAAAACTTGTAATATACGCATACTAAAGAAAAACAAATAACAATGTAACAATTACTTATAGGTAAACACCGCTTTTGTAAAAATTATACATACTTTGAAGATAAAAATCATTGACTCAAACATTAATCTTAAACTATGTACATGCAGTTTACATTAAATTAAATCAAATTCTTTATTGACCTGTACCCGGTAAACAAACAACTGACTTTACTTATGAAATTGATCCATAGTGTATGTCTAAAGCATCACTAAAACTATTTATTGTCTTGGACATTCTTGCATACGGAAAATTGGCGGCAAGAACTGTCCTTCTGAGGGGCGGACAAAGATATGGATACACGCGGAAGCCTAGTAGGTACACGAAACTTGAAAAGAGCCAGTAACTGGGGACTGTATATTTTCAGGTTGAGAATTTTAAAGCCAAACAACATGTCATTTAGGCTTCTACGTTTTGCGAAATCATGCCAATGTGTGAAAGTCTATTATCGTAAGAGCGCTAGTTTTTGAAATACCATTCGAGAAAGCAAGATGCCACAGAAATCGTTTTTGGATACGTTCAAGGCGTAAGGAGTGGACTGCATAATGGGGTCTCCAGACTACGCTACAGTACTCTAATATGTTACGGATCAAGCTGTTATAAAGTAGAATTTTAGTTTTATTCTTGCGAAGAAATTTGCATTGTCTCAAAACAAAGTCCAACATTTTTGAAGCCTTTTTACTAGTATTTTCTAAGTGGGGCTTGAAGGTTCATCATCATCATCATCAACAGCCTTTAATAGTCCACTGCTGGACATAAGCCTCTCCTTAGAAAGGAGGTTTTGGCCTACTATACCACGCTGGCCAGACGGGTTGGCATAGAGTTTGTGTCAAGTTTGTTTTTGTTTTTTTGCTTGAAGGTTAATTTATTATCAAATAAGACTCCTAGATCCCGAATCGTATCCACCTGTTTAATTTCGCAATTAGGTATTTAAATACAGTATTTTGAGTTTATATAATTTTGCTTGCGCGTAAACTTAACATGATAACATTTATTAAAATTTAAATGCATATTATTTTTTTGCACCACAGTATTAGTCTATCTAGATCGTTCTGTAGACGTTCAGTATCTTCATTTGATTCAATTCTTTTCACGAACTTCTGATCATCCGCATACATGAAAACTTCAGATCATCGACATACATGAAAACTTCAGAGTATTGGAAACAATCTGGGATGTCGTTAATAAAGAAATTACCCTAGAAGTAATGTGTTTTGGAGTGGATTGATAACCGTTCACGACTATCTTGCAAGTAAGACGTCACCTACCTGAGGAAAGTTCCAGAAATTCCGTAAGCTCGTAATTTGGAAATTAATGTGGCACTTTATCAAAGGCTTTACTGAAGTCCATGTATATGATGTCTGCCTGATGACCTGCGTCTATCGTTGTAAAAATAATTCGGCAAAAGAAACTAAATTTGTGCTTGTGGATCTAAGGCCAACAAAAGCGTGCTGATGATCACTCAGATACAGCTTTAAGTGGTTTTGAACGTCTACACATAACGCTTCGAGAATTCTGTAAAGTCCTGAATAGTAGTCCTTAAAGCCCCGCGACACAGGATTTAGTCCTAGTGCGGGAGTGGTCTTTTTAAAAGAGAGAAAGAGTACACACACCTAGTACACAACTTCTTGGTGTGCTCAGATACCACACCACAGATTTGCAGCAACAGGTTCTTTTTCTCATTTGCCGTCATCGTTTCGTAGGTGGCGCCACCGTCGTTGGTGTCATTGTTCAGAGTACCATTGTTGTTCCTAAAGTAAACATATATAACTAAAACAACGAGACATCATGCCAATACATTCATCACATACAAAGTTAGTTCACTTTCATAATAGAAGCAGCCCCCCCCCCCCCCACCCCGATAATATTCTTTTTTTACATAACTGTGATCAGATCAGTTTATTGAGTGTTGAATGTATTGGGTTTTATATTGATCAGTATTATTTTGTAGTCAGTGTTATTGTGTGCTAGTAGTAGTAACAGTTTACGAAAAAAAAAACTTATGTGATAAAAATAAACAGTGAATGCTTACTTGTGCACTTTGCTAGGTTTCCTGCTACTGTTGTTCTTGATTCTACGCTTGCGCCGCTCGCTCGGCACGCTACCACCAGCCCAATCGGCATCGTCCTCGTCATCGCTGAGTAATCCTGCGTAGGATGTTGGCTCGCGGCTGTTAGATGCAATGCGGCGAGACGCTATGCGAGAACTGTTTCGGCCCATACCTGAAGAAACATTACAATTCGTCAAATTTTATGTAGTTACTAGCTGATTCGCGCATCTTCGTCTGCGTCTTTCAAAAGGAATAACATTTTGTAGTGGACTGAATTATGAATCTAAACTATTCTCGAATCCACCCGTCCAGGCGTTATGGAGGAGTAAACTCACATACACACGCGCAGAAGAATTATATGCATCATCATCATCAGCCTATTTCAATCCACTGCTGGATATGTCCAGCCTCTCTCATTATATGTATAAAGATAAGTTAATAAGTAGAAGTTTTATTTTACTATTATTTCTTTTATATTACTAAGCTTGAATTTAGTCTGTTATTTTATACAATGCCTCACAAAACAACTTTCGCTGTTTGTCTGTATGAATAAAATTGATTCTCATTACATCTACATTACATTAGTATTTCATTAGTAGTATAGTATCTAAAATGCCTTCTTGCATGCAGTCTTGAGAAGTTATTTTTATTTGCTCATTTCTAATGCTTAAAGGTATGCTGTTCATCAAGAAGAGTACACGTTTTTCAATTGTTCTATGGCCGTAATAATTAGTTATTTGAGGCACATCCTATCTGCTGCTAATGTTTGTTAATTTTGTCAATTTTTGTAATCCTTAGAGTTCTTCAACCTCTTTCTACTCTGCTGATCTGCTTCTAACTATTGCATCATTAATTTAGTTTGCCTACATTTATTTAATTTTAATTTTTATACATAACATAGACATATATCTACCTATATATACCTAAAAAATTATATCTATAACGAATTATTTGATTATATTATTATTTTCATAACGTAGCATGCACCATTATACTAAAACAATGTGTATGGTAATAAGTGGATAATGCTGTTGGTAGTACAATTAGCACATTTGTACGTAATAATGATATGTACTATGAGTTAATATTGCATTACTGTTTGTTATACTAAATATATAAATAAAATATTTTAAAAATTGTGCTATTATATGAGTAAAAGAATAAAGCAGATTATTAAAATCAGTGTCTCATAATAAAATTTGTTCAAAATTCAGTTCCAATCTACTCTCTACCTCACAAATGTCATGAAAGGAATTTTCGTAGTAAAGTATTACTAAGACCGATTATCGACTAGGTGACCAATTCAACTTTCAGTCACAATACGATATAATCACAATCTTAATTATTAGGTAAAATGTATTTTTTTTATATCTGTGTGGTGACAGATTAAGAATACGAAGGGTCACCAATCCTATTCATTCCATGGGTGTCGCTAGAGCCAACTAAGGGAGCAAACTAGGCAGGACAACACACTGCAAAATCATCATCATCATCATCGACAGCCTTTAATAGTCCACTGCTGGACATAGGCCTCTCCTTAGAAAGGAGGTTCACTGCAAAAAGACAATGTTTAATATATAATATTTATGTATTTAGAAATATATAAGTATGTTTATCAAAAGTCTGGTTACCATAGTACAGGCTCACAACTAGGCAAGTTTTGAGGTCAGACAGCCATGTGTAAGGTTATTATCAGAGGTATACATACAGGCATAATTAATTACATATATGGGAACTAAAAAAAAACAACTAAACCATTTTGCAATGAATTGAAAGACAACAACAACAACATCCTCTGACACACGTGTCAGAGGATGTTGAGTGACCAAGGAGAATGGAAGAAGACTGCTAATTGCACCGACCCTAAATACATTTAGGATAAGGTAAAGAAGGTGATGATAAGGATATGGGAACTAGCACAATTATGTTGTAGCACAACTAGCACTGGCTGTGGTCACACACTGACTGTAATGAATACCCATTTTTTTTAAAAACAACTCCTGCATTAGGAATATATCCAGTGTTGTGAGGGACTTTACAAACATACATGAAATGGACACAAAGAACACCTAGACTCAGAACAACAATTTGTGGATTACACAGTGTTGTCCCAAGTGGGGATGGAACCCACAATACTCAGCGTAGTAGTTAGCGGGGACCCCTAAAACCACTACGCCATCCCTGATGTCAATCTTTCAAATTTCATGGTCATTTTCATTGAGAGGCATTGGTCATATTGATGGTATGGATTATATTATGGAATGAGAATTTAGTAATAGAACAAAAGCGGCGACAGCCTAGTGGTTAAGGCATCAAGACTTGCGATCAAGAGGTCGAGGTTTCAAAACTTGACCAGTACACTACTGACGTGAACCCACTCCTAACACAAGCTTAGCAATTTAGCTTAGCTGGAGGGGTTAACGGGAATACTAGTAATTACAGTTGCTAGTAAGCCTTTAAAAAAAAAGAAAAGGAAAAGAATTGGTCACTTCAATGTATTTTCTACTTTTATTATTCTAAATCAACCATTACTTTTATCATCATAATATATCTTAACTGAACAGATTTCATAAACTGCCACAAATAAAGTATATCTCTTACTCCATATAGTTTTCTTAACAGCAATAACTATGACTTTAGCAATATAAAACTGTATGTGCATTGGACATTAGTTCAGAACTTAATGCGATAAATGAGTGGTTAATAGCCATGGATTGCTTGACGTTTTAACTATGCAGCACTGGCTATGAACACAGGCAGACATGTTTAAACATCCATTATTAAATGGTTATAATATGTGTAATGGTGTAAAGAAAAAGTGCTGTGAAAGCAAGGATGTAAGAACAATGATAAATGTGCAGAATACCTTCGGTTCCTAATAATTGACATTTCTGTTCACTTACCCATGCATTTCTCTAAATGAGGAGCAAATCTTGTAGCTGATACTGGCCTCTCGCAGTTTGGACACGAGCAATTACAGTCAGGAGTCTTTTTCAAAATGGAAAAGCCAAAAACGTCACATTCCGGCGTGTTCACGATCTTGAAAGGTTCTTCATCTTCTTTTTCACCTTCCATTAAGTCTGTGAGGCCGGTTTTCAAGCCGTGGTGGAATTCAAAAATAAAACCTAAGGTCACATCGTCACAAAGACTCTCGTATATAAAATTCGCAGCTTCCTCTGCATTATTCTCATTTTGCATTATTTCGAAAAACTTATTGTTTAAATCGTTCATGCTCAACTCGCTATTTATCGTATTCATTTTCATGTATTTTTATATATTTACAGACACAACAGCAACACAAGAGAATCACAATCGCAAAATATATTTTCACCGAAAAGAAACTAATGTTTTGTATTTGACAATTTAATTGATTGATGACTTTTTCATTCATGTAATTCGCTTTCTCTGTCCAATAACCGATTAGAGTTTCTTTCGATACGTGCTGAAATTATAAACTGTCAAATTGAATTTTTGGAACAAAATGATTTTGTACAACACATTTTGTTACAGCACGTGAAATGGTTAGAAGGACTTAATATAATCTAACTATAACTAAGACTGTGCACTGTGAAGTATTTATTTACATAGACATATATTGAGTTTGTTTGCCCTTTCTTCTCATGGCTCAACCCCCTTAGAAACGGGCGGTTATAGATCGGCCCAGCCATATAATAGATTAACGATACGACGTAAACCAGAACCTCGAAAATGTGATTCGGATCCTCAGGGAAGAAGGTACGAGATTTTGTGAAATGCAGCGTAAGGGCAGGAAGTCGAAGCTTTCAGAAAGGAGCCTAGGGCTGATGAAGAAACTTAAAAAAAAAAGATTTCAAACAATTTTAAAATGTTTATGAAATACAGATATTTTGAGTTTGAGAAAACAACTTTTTCTTAAACATCACAGAATAGGTTTTCCTTCATATCGAATGGAGCTAACTTTAAGCAAAAAATACTTCACTCTTACTTATTCTACCAGGACGTCTAGTGATGTGTGCATTAATTAATTGTATGCCACACTACCAAAGTGCCACGAGTCATGGCCATACTGGGCATGTGACCGTTTGCACCATTTGCACAGGTTGTTGAGACTGGTGTATGTATCAGAAATGTTATTCTGGATCTATGTGTAACGGAGTCTCGTATTTAAGGAAAAGAGGCAAACGAGCAGACGTCACCTGTCACCATCCATCACCATTCCATCCACCATTAAATGTACTTACTGAAGCAGAAAAGGACAAAAGATGTCTAGTATTTATGCTAGGGTTCATGCTTTACAAAAAGCAGATACATAATTTTTAAAATATTTAGCAAAAATGTTAGTTTAGTTTTATTACAATCTCCGATCAAACAAAGTATTTGTTCGAAGACAACACATTATACTTTTGTTACTATGTTGGATACTGTTAAAAAGTTAACAACAATGACAAAAGGTTTTATAGTAAAATAATTTAGTTGACTTAGATCCGGTTTCTGTAAGACTGATCAAAATATTGTTCAATTAGCTTGTCAAGTTAACACAAAATGGTGTCAAATCAGTTGGCATTTTTTAATCTAGTGTCCATTTCATTGAATGTTTGAATTTGAGGTAAAGCTGAATGTCCTGTTAACTAATTTAATCTGCAAATCAAAATGCCTAATCTTGCTTTAATTCAATGTATATTTCACAATAGTTTTGACATAAGTTTATTAAAGTTTTAGGTTGATCGGTGTTTGAAAAACCTAGCATTAGATTTACGAAACTGATACATGACAGATTTACATAAGCTTTTAGTTATATGCCATTCGTTTCAGGCCCGAAGTAGGTAAACCTGGTTAAGATCAAGAATGTCCCGGTAGGTTTCTTATTTCCAAGTAAAGAGTAAGCTAGTGTTGCCATATGGGTAAATTTCTTAAGCTTTTTGGTTGAATATAAGGTGAATATATATTGTGAGCTTTAGAGAATATCATTATTGTTTAATAACACCGTGTATATTTACCCATTCCAAGTGTTACCACAAGAAATTTTCCCACCTATTATCGCGATGCTTTTATGACTTACGTCGACACACTATCGTTATTACATCTAGCAATACTACGCCTACTACGAACGCTTGGCGAACTCCCGCCTTATAAATAGTAAGCGCGCGATTATATGTTTGCATTTCCTAACAAATTTTACTTGTGACAATGGCATCAAGTCCAAAAGGTTTACGTCTCTTGAAGACTTTAGAACAAATAAAAAACACGCCGTCCTTTGATGCTACTGCTGTACTTAAGAGGGTGAGTATGATATATTTTATATATATCTATTCAAAAAAAACTTTTAATAAATCAATAAATCCATTTTCTTAAGGTACATTATTGATTTATTTGCAACTTTATGCCCTTGTGTGGTTTTCGCGGTAAAAAGTGGTCTATGCCCCTTAAAAATCCAAGTATCTCCATGACAAATTTCATTAAAATCGGCTCAGCGGTTTAACCGTAAAAGCGTAACAGACAGACATAATTAATTTTACAGTTATACCTAATATTAGTACATTTTAGAATATTAGTAGATCAGAATTGATTGCAAATGTTACCGAAGACTCAAATGATGTATCTATTGTGTATCAACATATATTTTTCCCTTACCTTCCCCTTCGTTTTTATACTGTTTTAGATATTAATCATTATGAATAAATAATCAATAGCCTGTAGTTTTCCACTGTCTGGACATAGTCCTCTCCTTAGAAAGGAGGTTTTGGCCTACTATACCACGCTGACCAGATGTTTTGGTATAGACTTTATTTCAAGTTTTCCTTCTCTTTGTAGTATTGGTCTCCTGCTTAGTTTGCTCCCTTAGCTGACTTTTACGACACTCATGGGATGAATACTCATGGGGCAGTGACATTCGACGTCGATTTGTAAAAATGCAGCAGAAACCTTTTTTCCCTCCTCATCAAACACACATTTGAACACACCTAACTCGTATGTAGGTATGATGAATTAAAGAACCTAGTTTATATGTGTACCTTTATTACTTTCTGCTGTAAAGTTTAATTTTACGGAGTCTATCGTAGTTACATTCTTAAGCAAATGTCGATAAAAATACTTGAATGAGTGGAGAAGACGTTTCCCATCAGTAATTCCGTGTTCTTGTTTGCTAATTTAGATATTAAAACATACAGGGAATAGACAATGTTTAAGTTTTAAGTTGTAGGAACATCTATACCGTTTATTCAAGTGTATTGTTTTTATGCTATTTAGTTTAGCGCGACATAACATTAGCTATATAGCACTAAAATATAATATTAAGATAAGAAAATTGTATACAAGATAGAATTTACGCTTTTACTATTCCATAATAGGGAATCCAATACTTCCTAAGCCGATGGGTCTAGGTCTCATCTCTTGTCTTGTATTCCATACCACCTAATGTCTGTAAGCAAGTGAAACTATCAGGGGTTGAATAATATGAAGCCGTCTATAGACATCTGGAATCCCGTTGATAATCCAGTTTATCTACAAACACTGTAGGCCTTTTCCCACACACGCCGGGGTCACCTACAAGCCATAGATGGTCCGGAGTCCAGGTTCCCAGGGGTACCAGGGATTTCCTTTTTAGTTTACACCGGTTTTCCCGGCTACTGGTACCTGAGACGGCGTGCGGTTTTAGTTGGTTTGAGTCCGACATAACTACCCTACCGACTGGGTATTCGAGGGAAATTCCGCACTGAAAAAAAATCACAAGTAGCACCATATCGATGGCGTAGTTTAAAATATATTTTAATACATGGCGTTTTAGGTAACGATACTTCTCGATGTGCGGTTGTATGCTTTTATAAACAAACAAATTATTAATGTGACGTTCTTTTAATGGGGAGTTCGTGATGGATGCACTTACAAAAGCATAATCTGTTAGGACTCATAAACGCTTCTTTTGTTTACTTAAAGATGATACGATGAGTTTATCTTACTGATACCTATCTATCTTTTAATGTGGCGATAGAACAAGATGTTTTCTGCATTTTTTAAATGTTATTTACATTGGAGTAAACATTAATATTTCTTTGGCATGTAGAAACTTACGTCATCAACCTAACCACCTCAATGGGAAGGTGGCATGTCGGACTTTTTTTTTATACGCGTGGAAAGCCCCTCGGGCCGTCACCCTACTGGGGTTTGTAGCGGGTCGGTGTGTTGAATTCAGACCGACTAAAACCACACGGTGGTATTAAGACATCCAGACCCCTCCTAGCGCCTGCCCACAGTCGTATTACTAAAGGTGTGACTGGCCCTGCACTCAGACACAAGTCGTTCTCGCTGCTCGAGCTAGCACCTGGCGGAGTCGTGACCGTTGAGTCTTCACTTGGCGATGAATTAGTGTGGGGTCTGTGCTTTATGACCTATGGTTTCCTAGACCTATGCTTTTTGGTATTGGTACAAATTGTGCTAGGATCTACGGATCCTATTGCGTTCCTTCTTCAGTTTATGATTGTTCACAAGTTAAGTTAATAACCATGGAAAACGTGTTTACTTGCGTTCTAAAGTTTGCTATGCTATGCTATAATAAACTATGCAATGAATTTAAAAAGTGTGAAGAACTGTGTAAGCAAACAAACTAACATTAATTTCATTAAGTGACCAAAAAAATAAAACAATTTAACACGTTTTAATATTTAGTTTTTTTCAATATAATAATAATAATATTGTACCACATTCACACAACGCCATCTAGTCTCAAACTAAGCAGAGCTTGCATTATGGGTACTAGACAACTGATATAAATACATATATACTTATATACTAATATGAATGGCAGTAGTCCATAGAGTAGCTTAGAAATCTTTTTTTAAACATAAATAATAAAAAATAGGAGAATCAAATCTTTTTACAAGGATAACGTGGTCCCACAAGTCTATGTGCTATCACCCACGCAGTTCATCACCAGTATCTGTAATACTGGTGATGAACAATGTACATAATGCAATGACATACCCTCTGCTTATTCCGAAAATTCATGAAATTAAATCAGAGGTAGCTTAATTGTATATAATTAATATCTATTTTTTGTTGAACATTATTTATTAACAATGGTGCCATTGCTACTAAAAATAACCTTTTATTATCCAAAAAGCCAGTTATTACAATAACAATATAATTATTTTAATTAAATTTCATGAACGAGACAATGGTACTCTTTAACGAGAATACATATTAATTATAATTTATACAGTTAGGTACGTACTAAAAATCCGGTAACTGATATTTTAAATCACAGGCATACCTATGTGACGTCGTCACTGGTATCTTCATGATTTTCACAACTAAATAGCCTTATACTAAAAATTTAGCACTTAATATTGATTAAACCACCGTAGCTCCATAGCAGAATCGAGCGAGCTTTACAGTAGTCGCATGTAGGTAATCATATGATTTAAAAATGTTAAAATCAATGTGTCTTATTTACAAAATCATTGCGGCTTAAGATCATGATTAAGCGCGACTCGCGAAAGGCCTAAATCGAAAAAGTCTTTGATAAAAAGAAAATTTAATATATTTGGATTTTTCTTTGCTACAGATTATTTAGATGACAATTTTGCTTGAGATTGATGCTGCTCACTCCCACATTTGAAAGTGATGAACATTTAATTTTTTGTTGTATTTCGTATTTCGTTTGTTTTTAATTTGTTTATTTGAAATTAAATTGTATAGTATATATTTTTTTGTGTCAGTATGCAGATGTGAGTATAGTGTAGGCTTGTAATGTTATTTCATATTTTAGTAACTTTCTGGTGTTTCCACGGCCCACTCAAGTGTCCTGCAGGTGGTAGCGTCGTGTTCCGGTTTGTTGATCTCGACTATATCGGTTAGGCTATACAAAGGCTGGGGCTCGTATGCCGTCTGTATGGACGGGCCGAGTCAATACTCTTCCTCAATGGTCCTTTCTTCAAAAGGCTAACCTAGACCCTATACTGCACTCACATAGTTCTCTTTAACATTGTACACGGCCTTAAAAAAAAGACACCTCTGTGGTTTGTTTCGGCGTTTCTTCCCAGAGCGAGTCTGAGGTAATGGCGGCGCCTTCTATCTGTAAAGTCCGACTTGTAAAAATATCTGACAAGATTTACTTGCAGAAATAAATATCATTACATTTCATAACATTAATTTTGTTCGTTTAGTCACAGGCCATTAAACTGTTTGTAATTAATTATTTAATTAAACAATATTCAGAAATGTGGTTATAATTTTACTTCATTCCTTATATCTCCTCATTCTCAGAGTGTCACACCGTTTATTACTTTGTATTTCATTTATTTTCAGGTAAAACTACACTCAGCCTCAGATGGTGTACTAAAAGGCTCGTTTACAATCGAGCCATCGATGTGTAATCTAGGCAATACTCTTCATGGAGGTCACATCGCCAGCCTGGTTGATGTGTTCTCTTTTTATTCCCAGCTGAGTCACCCCGATGGACGATTATCGTGGACTACGAATCTGAATATCATGTAAGTAGAAAAAAGTTTAACATATTTAATAATACAACAAATTTTTGTAAGACACTAGAGAACAAGGAATCTGCTATCAAGATGGTCTGCCTTAAAAGGTAATTAAATTTATTGTGAGGGTAGCCAAATTGTAAACATCTCACATCAAAATGTTAGATGTTTACTAAAGCATACAAAACTCAAAAGTTCTGTATGCTTTAGTGTAGTATTATACTGAAGCTTCCTCAACACAGAGATAAGCAAAGGTATTTTAAACGTATTTTAATTATAATTCCACGTAACAGGTCATTTTACGTAATGACGGGCAAGCCTAGTGACGGCCGGATGATATATGATTTGGTCTAGGTATTTCTATGTATGAAATGAAACTCAAACTCCGAAACATATTTTTGGAGATCATACAAACATTTGGTCCGACCCGGGAATCGAACCCGAGACCTCAGCACAGCAGTCGCATACGCTACAACTGCACCACAGAGGCAGTCAAAATGCTTAACAATGGTTTTCTGAGTAAACCATTGTTAAACTTTTCTGTAAGGCCTTTTTAGGTATGCTAAACCACGGCTCTCCCACAATAATAGGATGAAGATACTTCGCCAATCGGCTCAAAGTTCATTTTAGGCTTAACAAAATAAATATCCCAGTACAAGAGATAAAAAATCCTTCTTTTTTTAAGTTTTGTAGGTTCAGCTAAGGAAGGCGAAACAGTGAACGTGGAAAGTAAACCAGTGAGAAGTGGGAATGCAGCAATTGTTGAAACATGCTTATACGGCTGCAATGGGAACCTTTTAGCAAAAGGAACCGCTACTTTTGTTGCCGGCCATGAAAAGTATCAACAGGTGTTCAAAGATGGATTTAACTTTAATGTGCAGGAGACCGACTAACGACACATTTTAAAATGAAACAACTTTAAAACATCACAAAAATGTTAAATTTGTAATTGATCGAATAAGATCATTGTCTCAATTTTATTTTCTGCTCATTTTTTTTCAATTTTAATTTATTTAAAAAACATTGTTCTGCATTCCATTATTATGTTTTGCAGTTCTTTAAAACAGGAATAGAACGAAATAATGCAGCAACTCTCCATTTTTGCACTTACGTATTATATAATTATGAGGGTATTTTAGGTAGTAGGTACAATCAATTACATTTATTTGAACAATTTTTCGTTATTATTTCATTTCTGCAAAAAAAATATCATAGTTGGATATTTTCACCAATCATAATTAGAAATGGTGTAAGATGGGATTGTTTTGTGTTACTGTTTTGACAGATTTTATTGATTTATTTTTTGTCTATGTTACCTCACTGCAGGGCAAAGTCCTTTCCCTTTCCCTTCCACATCTCTCTGTTATGTGCTAGTGACCAATCTGTTCAGAAGCCCTCTAGATCAGGGATTCCCAAAGTGGTTGTTTCGACATAAACGAAAACTGATTTCGGGGGTCGACGAAAAGAAACCAAAATATCTAAGTAAGAAAATCTGAAAAATTAAATGTAATGTAGATATTTATTACTATCTTTGACATGTTTAACAAAATTCAATTGCAGCTGTAGGGTGTCAATCTCAACTTGATTAAAACAAATAGTGTCGGCCTTTGTGGGTAAACTTATCCTTTATAAACAATATTTAAGCAGAAAAGAATATTTAGAGTTTCCGCATTTATTTACCAGAAATGCTTTAATACAATGTGTCCCATTACAGAAGGATTTTACTAAGAAGTGTGAGGATCTCTTAAACTTACAAGTTCCTTAATGGATACTAAGTTCTGGTTGAAATACAGTATCCTGCATTATGGAACATTGCTGAAAAATAACTTATAGCCTTTCCATCATCATACTTAATCACAAAAAGCTTCAGTATGGTTACAAAAATTTTAACAAAACAAAGAAACGGTTTGAAAAATTTAAGGCTGCAACTCACCAGCATTGAAACAGATTTAGTTAGATTTATACAAAGTGGAGACTGTTTATTTTATCTTTATTTTGGGATATAAACATTTTTTTCAGAAAATAATTACCTACTAAAATATTTTTACGTAATTTGTAATAATAATAATTAATTCTCAAAAAAAGGGGTCTCTTGCCAAAAATAGTTTGGGAATCCCTGCTCTAGATCGTCCCGCCATCGTCGTCTATGACACGGATGATAGGATATTTTTAATTTGCCACTTCTACAAGGATACTCCAAATCAAGAAGAACTAAATCGTTTCTACTACTTCCTAAATTATTTGATTTTAAATTTTGCTATCTACCGTTAACCAGGGCCTAAAGCTTTTAATTTTATGTATAAACTTATCCAATAAATTTATGGTTAAAATTATGTATTTTAGTTACAAACTGCCAGTAACTGTACTTTTTGAAGTAAAAAGCTGTTTGAGTGTACCTTAGTCCTACAAGTTTACAATGAATATACATAATTAACATTATATAACATAGTATAGGCCAAAACCTCCTTTCTGAGGAGAGGCCTATGTCCAGCAGTGGACTATTAAAGGCTGTTGATGATGATGATGAATTAACATTTCAAAAAATATCACAGAATTGAATGCCCACACACACTATGACAAATTACATTATTTTGAATTGAAATATACTGTATTCTTATGTGGTCCGTACTCCGTGTGGTGACGGATTAAGAATACAGAGTGTCACCACCCCTATTCATCCCATGGGTGTCGTAAGAGGCGACTAAGCAATGTAGAGAGAAGGAAAACTTGACACAAACCCTATACCAACCCGTTTGACCAGCGCGGTATAGTAGGCCAAAACCTCCTTTCTAATAAGGAGAGGCCTATGTCCAGCAGTGGACTGTTAAAGGCTGTTGATGTGATGTGTATTCTTATTTCTTTATTTTGTCACCTTAGGGCCAATATTTTTCCTTCAAACATAAACGACACACAAAATGTTGTCCATTTCAGACTATTTTTTTTGTTCAAGAAAGAGCTATGAGTTTTAAATTACTACGAGTATTAATTACGCAACTGAGCCAGGTAGGTGACTGCGTAGGTTTTCGAGTGTTGCGTGTATGAAGCATATTATTATATTTCTTTGGCACGTTCTATCTTATGGCTTGATGTTGATATTACGAGTATATTCGTCTTTATTGTGAGTGACACTAAGTATAAAAATTAAAATGACACTTTTTTTTTTGGTGCCAAATTATTTGTTTTCAAAAGTTTATTTTCTTCAAAAACCTTTGAATGGGGTACCAACATAAATGTCTTACAACCATAAACACAACTTATATTATTCAGTTATGTGTGAATGTTTTGCGGTTTTCTTAAAAAACAATGGAGCAATAATATTCATGATTATTGGACTAACATACGAGTATAAACACACGGTGGAGATATTAGGTAAAATATTTCACAAGAAATCGGTTTATTTACTTTTTCAATTACCCATAAAACTTTTAACTTCTGCAATAAAATATAAAAATATTATAGTTAGGAAATTGTATTCCTAGAATGACATGACATGACCATAGCATACCGCGACATCTATTGAAATAAAGAAGAAATTGAATATTGAAATAAACTAAAATTTTCAGCAAAACTACTCGCTGGATTTAATGAAACAAAAACAGTTCAAGTACAATACGTTTTAAGTAATTTAAATGTCGTCGTAACATTTTCCATTTCCGATTCTAGAAATCTGAACAAGAAAGTCATAGCTAAATCTGATTTTTGCACTGTTGATTTAGAATCTATGAATGTAAAAATAATAATTTCAACAGGTGTTAACTTTAACCTGTGGCTTCGTTTAGTAATAGCAATAACTGTTTATAGGTAGCTAACATACCCATTCAGTATACCAAAACATTTCTGTTCACCCTGATTTACGGCAAATATATTATTTGTAATACCTACAGTTAGTGATAATGAAGTGGGACGAAAACAATAAAAAACAGAGATATCGACGAAACAGGCCATTCATTTATTGTTTGTCGTTCTGTCATTTAGCTGTGTTGTTGGAAATATTTGGCGAAAATGGTAAGTTTATTTTATTGATTGCTTTCATATTTAGAAGTGTTATAATAATTAAAATGAAAGAAGCATTCATCGTAATTTGACTTCACTGCAAAGGTGTCTACGTTATAACCAAAGGCGGATCAATCGTGGGTCATGGGGGGTAATGATCTGCTCTGAGATGCCGCTTAGTTCGTGGATCCGCCCCGGATTTATAACTGGTGGATATAGATTATGGCAATTAATTCAGACAACCCTGAGAACAATATTGTATTTCTGGATATATCCTGAGATACGCAATTCCTTATTTGTGGCCCTGACAACATATGTTCGGAATTTCAGGATGATCGTTGGAGATTTTACGAGAGTCAAGATGTAAGTACCTACAAATAAATAAATATTAAAATTTTAGATAGGATTTAGTATTGGTGCAGATAATACTAACGATACCTGGTTTTTAACATAGGTTTTCTTAAATAATATAATACCTACCATATTTTAAAACGATAACACATATAGCTACTTGCTAATAGCTGTTTTCGTTTACAGATATATACATTTTTTTAACAGTTATCTCGACTTATTGCATAATTATAGTGACGCTATCTGAATGTATAAACAATGTATAAATGGATTTTAAGGTCATGTCTTTTAACTTTTCAGATATTATTATACTTTTTTATGATATATGGGGGCAAACGATAAGACGGGTCACCTGATGGAAAGCGACTACCGCCGCCCATGACGTAGATAAGGGCAAACGTAATATTTTATTATACTTAACGGGTGTGTTATCTAGCGGATGGAAGTGAATTTATTATATTTCGAACTTCTCCAATTTTTTTCTGATTAGTTTCGCTGCCGGTTTCAAGACAGTTTATTTTTTTCCTGGGACTTCCGTGTGTCATACCTCAGTGTGTTCGTGGGTCACTGCTGTTGATCCTAGTGTACAGGAGTTACAGTGGTGGGCGTGTAGGAGGGATTAGTCCCATTTACCACCGTCAGTTGCCGGCCATTGAGTTAGAAGTACGAGCTTTTCTTGATAGTTTAAAGGCCGTATCAGTCCGAAAATACCGTAGACAATGATTGGTTTCACAGATTGGAAAATTAAGGAACTTAACCTAACTTAACTTTCACCGCACTCACTAGTAAGGTTACCTAAGCCACCCCGTCTTGTTGATGCACTCGAAGGCCTGAGTTGCAGGTGACCCGCCTGCTCAATTATCCTTACACTAATGATATTATATACAAACAAGAGATAGATACGCCACAATCGCACTAAACGTGAGGGTCCTAATTAGGACCACTGCGAGCGAGCGCAGTTAGTAATTAGGTAAATCGAGAAAATTCATAAATGCTTCCTGTGTATTCTGAAAGGGCACAAATTACGACAAAAAGGTAAATAAAGATAAAGGAATATCATACCACAGGTAAGTGTATGTTTTGCTCCAAAATGCATTAACAGATGTAAGTACGGTTACGGAACAAATATTTTGTGCGTGCAGTATGAATATAACATATATATCTCCCTTAAAATATCATTGCCCTAAATCATAAGAAATTGCATAGTAAAAAGCATCACTTCATTTTTAATAACTCAAAGTTCAAACCCTTTAAACGTACAAAAGTAAAACTGGTAGAACAATGATGGAATAGAAACTCGATTCGTATTGAAATATTACTTATCCATTCTCTCTCTATTGTTTATTGGAGTCGAGCTACACAAACTTATCCATGTAGTGAAATCTGTGTGTACCCAAACGTGAATAAAAAAAAAAAAATGTACAAGTAAAAATGTCTGGTAAACTATTCCCAAGTTTTAGACTTTTAAGAACCGCAAGCTAGTGCTTTATACAGCTCAGTTTATAACCTCGATTTATTAAAATTAAAAAACGAAAAGAAAAGACAAGGAGGGACGCTAAGCGAGGGTAGTTGCTAAACTCAAACTTCATTGAATTCTTAGGTCTATTTGCGTTTAATTATGTTGCCTAATTGTAAATCAGATTGTATATATTGATATTATAGTACTGCAAGAACAAACTTATATACACTCACGGCTTTATCCCCGAAGGAGGAGACAGAGGCGTATTTAAACACCCACATTTTGGTTGACCATATTATAGACTAGCTGGTACCACTGCCTTAGTGGTGTAGTACGGTACGCGACTGAAGTCCTTGAGGCTTCGGGTTCAATTCCCGGACTGGGTAAAATTTTATAGGCTGTATATATGGTATAAATTACAACCAGAGAGACAACAAATCATCGTGCTCATAACACAATGTTTGAACTGAACCTACGAGACCTCTGGGTTAGCTGCACTCAGTACTCGTATACTCGCGACTCGTGTAAAATTATACAAATATCAAGAAACGCGAAAATGTAAAAGCCATCCTGAGTTTTTCATGGAAGTGTTAACAGAAAAGAAAATAACATGTACTTTATATTAATATTTTTCTAATAATAACAATAACTCTTCCTCATGGAGTTCTAACCACCGGTATCTAGGTCACTGTACGCGATACTATTGGGACACTATTATTTATATTTTTAATTTTTTGTAGCAAATTTTGTATGAATCATAAGTGTATTAAAAATGTAATTTATATATATATATATATATATATATATATATATATATATTTATATATATATATCTTCTCGTTCTCTTTATTAAATTAAATATATATATATATATTTTATTTAATAAAGAGAATAATAAAAATGATTCATTTCAAGTAACTGTGACTCATGGTAATTGTTCGTAGCCTAGACAGGTGCCCTTCAATGTCCGCGGATTGATGCCTCCAGTCTTCACCCCGTTCAACGAAGACTTGACTGTCAACTACGGTGCTATTCACGCCTACGCTGAGTACCTCGCTGATGCTGGCATCAAATCCGTTCTAGGTATACCTATAAATATTCATGAAAGAAAGAGTTGTGAGGCGGAAGTCAATGAAGAGATCATTGAGTTCCGCCTCACAACGCTTTCTTTCTAGAAGCACTAGACAAAATCTTACTAGATTTACAAGATCACAAGTCTGCGTGTTATGAAAGCTATACTTACTCCTTGAAAAACAACTGGGACACTGAAGACAAATATGCAAAAAGGTAAACTTGAAACTAACATAGATTCTTTTCTTCTCGAACTTGATTGAAGTCATTAATCAATCAGTCAAATTCAGTCAAAAACAAAGACAAGGGAAGATGGATACAACTATCTGCCTTCGCAAAAAAAAACTATAGGGTAAAAATTACGGTTATTGTACTTTTGCTTGTACTCATGTAAGCAGTATTCAAATTAATTTAGACACTTCTTTTAAAGTGTACATATTACGTCTGGTCATGATTGACAAGATATAGAATTTTTTTGAATGGCTTATGGCTTGTTAGCTTAAGCACCGTCTTCAGCAAACAGATGGCCTAATAAAAGTATCTTGTCTAGATATAGTTTTTTTTTTTGTAAATTAAGAAGTTGGCATATTAGCTTAAGCACCGTCTTTAGCAAACAGATGGCCTAATAAAAGTACATTTCAACTGTACTTATCGTCACGATGACCGCGTTGGGCGTTGTGATTTGCCTGAACTAAACTCTTCACCAATCACAACGCGCGCCGAACGTGGTCACCGTGACGATCACGTCGATGTGAAATATTCAAACCAATGAATCATTGTCACCACATTCCTGTTCGCTGCAAATTTTATTTGGGATTAGCGCATGCGATTTATGCGATTTTGTGGGCGCGCGGGATCACGGTAAAATTACAAGATTGCTTCAACAGCAGTCCGATGTCTATAAGGACCTCATAGACGAATGGCAACAACGCTGGAATCATCCAAGGGGCGCCATCTTTACCTATTCTTTCCATCTGTTCGCGAACGGTTGTCGAGGATATGGCTTGAGGTGGATCACTGTGTCGCTCAATTTCTTACGGGTCATGGTAACTTTAAGAGCAAGCTTTATTCATTTAAATTAGTCGAGTCACCATTGTGTCAATGCTCAACACCTAACTCTCACTATGAACAGTCTGCGCCTGATATCCTATGGGAATGTAGTCTTTGGTATAATGAACGTAATATAATGCTGAATAGCTTGCAGGTGATATCTGGGGCGGTATATTTTGGGGATCTTGTGTCAACTAGGGTGAATTTCCGTGCGTTTAAGCTATTCTGCCATACATATTATAGAAATCAAATATAGCTCACGTAGGACCCGTAATATTTTGTGGCCGTGGTGCTTCCCTGTTTAAAAGGGTGTATGCCCATTTTACTTCATTTTGTCTCCCGCTTTGCTAAGGAGGGAAGTGGATTTACTGTATTTCCAACTCCTCCAATTTTCTTCTGATTAATTTCGTTGCGGGTTCCAAGACAGTTTAATTTCTTCCTGGGAGTTCTCGAGTGTCATAACTCGGTGTGTTCGTGGGTCACTGCTGTGGATCCTGGTGTACAGCAGTTACAGTGGTGGGCGTGTGGGTAAGATTAGTCCCAATTAAAAAAATTAGCGCATTCCCAACCAGACAACCCTAAATTCACGCGCCTGCGTGATGTCAGGGTTGACTGGCTTGAAAATGTAATCATTATTAGACGGGACATAGGAAGAGGGTAAATTAGGGAGAGGGTAAATGAGATCAGCAAATCGAATAGGGCTAGGGAGCTAGGTCTCAGACAGAACAGGAAACAAGAGTGAAACTACTGTAGCTCGGAGGGGACTCGATCGTCCTTTCTGTGGTTATTAGTCGGTGGTATAATACACCTTCTGGTCTTCCAGTGGGCGGTACGACAGGTGAGCACATGACTCTCTCAGTTGCTGACCGTAAGGACGTGATAGATGCTTGGTTAGAAGTCTCAGCGTGTAAAGGACTTCATATTCAAGTTCAAGTTGGAGGAGCGCCACTGGCTGATGTACTGGAACTGGTAAGGATACTTATTTCGAAAAGATTAATACAATTCTATTAGTAATTTTGGTATAAACAACTAATTTCAAAAACTAAAACAGTGACACTTCGGGAGTGCCAACAGAAGGCAAAACTTGAAAATCTGAATTTTTATGATTATAACAGGAAAAATTTTTTTTTTCGTTTCGAAAACTTCTGACATAAAAATACATCTCTGTTATACGTGTATATACATAATATATGTATATAGTTATTAGATCCTATCAATGTGTTTCAACCCACATTCAACTCTTGTGTAAATGGACTCAATATATGTAGATACAGACCTCTGTATCTACATATATTGAGTCGATTTAACCTACGCTACACAGTTACCGTTACCGACACCTGTCGGTAACGGTAACTGTGTAGCGAGTTCAATGGTTTTTTCCCATCTCAAAAAACGCATTTTTTGTTTGTTGTTTAAAAATGCCCAAAGCGCCTAAAGAAGTTTTCACTTCAAAAACAAATATGTGCGTGTTTAGTTTCATGTTTTCATGAGAAACATACCACTCACCTCTACTCCGCCAACCTCTCACGGAGAATAATTAGAGGGAACACTAACAGTTTAGTTGGAACTCGAAACGAATACCTTATGTTACAAACATCGGGTGTCTTAATAACAGTTGTTCCCCGATTTCTGATATTTCAGGCGCACAGTGGTACACCCCCAACATTCGGTTCGATTCCGACACACAACCCCGCCATATGGGCCGATAGGGCGACCGTAGGCGCTGTCCGTTGCAAACTGTTACAAGGCCAACGACTTGCACTGATATTCTTGTGCAAGGCATATAGGACGGTTAGCACTGAGGCTTTGCCGGTGTTGGCGGGTGTGCTTCCGGTCGATCTCGAAGTGCAGAGACGTGCAGCCATGTACTATTCAAGACAACAAAACATGGAATGCGATTTATTAGGCGCGCGGGATCGCGGTAAAATTACAAGATTGCTTCAACAGCAGTCCGATGTCTATAATGACCTCATAGACGAATGGCAACAACGCTGGGATGAATCATCCAAGGGGCGCCATCTTTACCAATTCTTTCCATCTGATCGCGTACGGTTGTCGAGGACATGGCTTGAGGTGGATCTCTGTTTCGCTCAATTTCTTACGGGTCATGGTAACTTTAAGAGCAAGCTTTATTCATTTAAATTAGTCGAGCCACCATTGTGTCAATGCTCAACACCTAACTCTCACTATGAACAGTCTGCTCATCATATCCTCTGGGAATGTAGTCTTTGGTATAATGAACGTAATATAATGCTGAATACCTTGCAGGTGACATCTGGGGCGGTATACTATGGGGATCTTGTGTCAACTAGGGTGAATTTCCGTGCGTTTAGGCGATTCTGCCATACATATTATAGAAATCAAATATAGCTCACGTAGGACCCGTAATATTTCGTGGCCGTGGTGCTTCCCTGTTTAAAAGGGTGTATGCCCATTTTACTTCATTTTGTCTCCCGCTTTGCTAAGGAGGGAAGTGGATTTACTGTATTTCCAACTCCTCCAATTTTCTTCTGATTAATTTCGTTGCGGGTTCCAAGACAGTTTAATTTCTTCCTGGGACTTCCCGAGTGTCATAACTCGGTGTGTTCGTCGGTCACTGCTGGCAGGGGCGTGCGCTCCTTGTAGGCAGAAATGCAGTGCTTTACTTGCTATTCACAGACATTTTAATAAAACGTTCGCACGTTTTAAATGACTTTAATTAATAGTAAATAAATGAATAAACAAAATATAATAACTTAAAACGCCTACTATTTTATAAATAGCACCTATTTGTCATTTGAAAGCACACAAACATTATGTTAGCCAGGCGTTTACCAACAAGCAAGCGGCGCTGTACCTACCAACCAACTCATGCCGAAACATGCCGCAGGAAATTTGTTCGCATGTGTGCAGTAATTTATATACACACCCATATATTTTATTTCCCCGGCTCCAGCCGCAGGCTACTAAAGTTCGGCAATTGTCGGGAGTAATCGGAAATGTTCGTTGCCTATAAATCGACTAAACACAATAGACAGAAATATAATAAATCATGTGTGCGGATCATGATTTTTTAATATGGTAGGGTTTTATTTGTTTAATTAGCAGATATTTTTTGTGTTTCGCGGGGGCCATATTGCTTTTTTCATGTGATAAGCATTGTTTACTATTTTCTTTCCGCCAGTATAATTATAGTTTTATTTTTCATTTTAACATTTGAAAGTGTGTACATTTAACAGTTTATTACTGAGTTCCGTTGATTTTTTTAAAATGTTATTTGATTGTGAGGTATGTGTGGAAAATGTGTGTGACCAGGTGAGTATATATAATATAATATTTTAGCTTATTATTTTACTTATTAGAATTTCTTCCGCCGCGACGATCTATCGCTGCTTTGTCTGCGTTCCCGTTGAAGATGTACATGAATAGTAGTACATCTAAGACTTGTTCTGTTGGCATGTTTTCCGACTCCGAGAGAGAGATCCGTCGCGTGGCTTTGGCTATTCTAAAAATCTATAAAAGAAAAAGTTTTTGTGACCGACTACTCAGCCGCATACCTAGTGTCATAATCCTGTGCACGCCGCTGGTGGTGGGCGTGTGGGCGGGATTAGTCCCAAAAAAAAAAAACCCCGCCATATACCGCGGTGGGGTGATGGCCCGAGGGGGTTTCTGCACGTAAAATGACACGAACAGGTCAAGACAATAAAAAAGATTTACTTGTTAGTAACTGTCTTATCACTATTGCTATAAACTATGCAATTCAGCAGCATTACGATACAGTAACAGTAACCGTGATATTGTTCTTAACGCGATAAAATAACTAATACGAGTATGAAATTAACTCCCGCCTAGTCACCTTAATTTTGCTGCCTATTTTTGAAGCGTATAAATGGCGTGGCACCACAGATGCATAATTTATATTATTATTATTTAATAAATAGTGAACTATTTAATCATCTACTATATGTAATAATAGTTTTAAATTTAATAATTGAAAATCGAAGTTTGTCCATCAGGCGATATTAAGTATGGATATAACCAACCTTCGCAGCACAACAATTTCAACTACGTTTAAGAAAATTGCTGTTACAATCTATCATTTCAGGCTCGGTACTGTCAAGAAAGGTTTGTCCACTCATTGCTGACCCTTCCAGATCTGTACTTCAAACCTTCGAATGTTGAAGAACTGGTGTTTTACGTATCTCAAGTCGCTCAGGCAGCTCCTCGTATACCGGTGCTGTACTACCATATTCCTCACATGACCAAAGTTGAAGGTAAGAGTAGTTTTATTATTATTTATGTTTTAAATAATGGGGACCTCCCATCATCAAATCTTCACTGCATTTACGTGTGACGGCTGTGTTTCGTAATGATCCTTGTAAAACTTATAAACAAGAAATTAAAAAGTTTCTTTCCCCATTGTCATAATGGAAAAACGATCATAATATAGAAAGTCAGATTAAAATATATGCCACAAAACTTCTAGCCTTCGAAAAATTCATAATTATACTTTCACGAACTTAAAGAACAGAAAGTGCTATTGCGCATTATGTTTATAGGCCCCCCTGAAGATATAACTTGTTTAAACATTGAAATTTTGTAACCATTGTCGGAGTATCATGGATAAAGCAGACCAGCTCTTGGCCTTGCAAACATAATATTCATTTGTTTTTATTTCAAAACAGTAAACTGTTACAATGTTGTTTGCGTTTATTCTGACTGACTCTTACACTTAAAAATCTCTCAAAATTCGGTTCGAATTTGTTTTAAGACGAAATTAATATGCTATGTAACAAGATAAGATCTGATAATTTTATTTTGTTACGTAATAGATAAGTGTTATATGATACTAAAATAATAGCTTTTGGGGCCACCTTTTCTCCTACTTGTTAGCATTAAACAGTGATAATTTATCTATCTAAGACAATGCATAGTGATAAGAATAAATTGTATGAGTTTTGACTGTCATATAGATTACTAGCTGACCCTGCAAACGTTGTTTTGCTATTTAAATTTTTTTTTTTTTTTTTTAATTTCTTAAAATCCGTTCTTAGCTGACCTCTACTCGGTGAAAAGAATATTCCTACCAAATTTCCAGTGTTTAGCTCTAATGGTTCCAGAGATATCGTGATGAGTGACTATATACGTGGAAATCTCTTATATATATATAGATAGATTAAGACATATCTGCCAACAAGTACAGTATGTCCTTCGATAATTCTGTAGCATAAGCTTACACGAATTAGGCCCTATTTTTTTAAATATTTAATGGTAATAAATACCTCATTTCATTTCATTTATTCATAAACAATTCACAATTGCTTGAATGTTAATATAAGTCGGCAGTTAATATAGTGGCTATCCATATCAATATTATAAATGCGAAAGCGTGTCTGTCTGTCTGTTACCTCTTTAGATTTAGATCGAATTTTTATAGAGATAGTTCATGTCCCTGGAAAGGACATAGGATAGTTTTTATTCCAGAAATCATCCTTTATGGGGGTAAAAAGAGGGGTAGTAGTTTGGATGGGAAATCAATAACCGCTGAACCGATTTAAACATGCACGAGGGTGGAAAGCTAGTAATGTTATAAAGCTTTAATGTTAATATAGTGGCTGATGGCAAGTCACTATCGCCGCTAATTGTCACCTGAAACTTGAGAGTTACAAGTGCTTTGCCGGGCCTTTTATGAACTCCTTACAGAAAAAGGAAGAAGAGCGACTCGAATCGTCGATAGCCCAAACATCTCCGATCGGCTTGATCCCTTGGCGTTACAGAAAGATGTGGCATCACTCTGCATTTTCTATCGCATATATCATGGACAGTGTTCCGAGGAATTGTTGGGACTAATACGTCGTAATTAACCAAAAATGGCTCTAAATTGTTTTTTTTTAACAATAGTGGTAACTTCTTAGACGTATAATAGTCATTCAAATATGTTTTTTGAATATTTTAAAATACGTCCAATAACAAAAACTAAGTCTAAGTGTACTTAAATGAAAGTAGTGCACTAAAACAATTTTAATTACTGTAAAATATCTTATGCAAAAAATATATATAATAGTCTGGGCCATTTCCCTGTTATATATTAATATATTTAAATGTTTATACCCATGGTATCTCCGGTCAAGACGGTCCAATTGTGCCGAAGAATGGTTCTTGGTCATGGAAAAATGTTTCGCTGACGAACGCTATAAAATATGCTCTAAGCCGTGAAAGCTGTTCTTAATTATATTACATGTATTGCGTATTGTTTTATAAGGTGTTTTTTCACAGTCAGCATGTCAGAATTCGTTACGGCAGCCACAGCCAGCATTCCCAACTTCAAAGGTTTGAAGTTTACCTCCAACGATCTGAGTGAGGCCGCGCAGGTGCAAAGAGCTTTGAAGGACGGACAAGTGTTGTTCCTGGGCGCTGAAACGGTAAGTTACTTCTTCTACTTCATCTTGAGGGCTGGAAGTACGAGTATTAAACTCTTGAATTACTATCAGATTTTCATCATAAGAATATTAGAAAACGAAGAAAGACTTTTTAATAATAATAAATTTTGGTCTCTGTCCCTAGTTGCTAGCACCAGCCGCTCTCTTGGGCATCAAATCAAGCATTGGCACGTCATTTAATTTGTTTCCGAAGCTAGCTCAGGAAATTCTAAAAGCTGTTGAGAAAAATGAAGTGGAAAAGGCCAGGATACTTCAGGAGAAGCTCAGTTTAGCTGTTGAGGCCCATACATGTGAAGGTATTTTTCATATTTTTCGTAAATGGTTAGTTTTCACAAAACTGAACATAATATTATATGGAAATGGTGTAAATTTGGGGAACAAGCGATTTTAACATTACTTTTTATCGTTCTCCGAATTCCTACCACTATGCACACCTATACTGATATATACAAATATAAAGGCCAGGGATTTTTTATTTCATAAAGGGATTTGCAACTCTTTGAAGTGGGTTTGGTCTCTATGGAGGTCTTAAACGTCTTCCACCAATTTAATATTATGTGTCAAGGACCTCGATTCTGCAGTAAATATCAGGAGTGTGTTTATTATAAAGACTTATATTATTAATTTTTAGGACCCTGGGTGCCAGCATTGAAAGCTGGTATGGAGATCGTGTCTGGAATTAAAGTTGGCCCTCCAGCCCTCCCGCAGAGGCCTCTTTCAGCCGAAGCTAAGCAAAGACTGCAGTCTAAACTGGAATCGCTTGGTGTAGCTAACTTAAAAGAGAATTTTGCAAACATGTGCATTTAATAAAATATACTTTGATATCAATAATATTTGTGTAATTATTATTTGATTTTTATAATATCACTGAGACCACAAAGTATGGTTGCTTCACCAAATATCCATTGCAAAACTAGCCTGATATTTCCAAAATATCTACTTAAAATATATGAATGAAGGTCTAGGTAGTTGTAGGAAGTTGTATTCTATTAATCTAACTCTAAATATCTAGCTGTATAGTGATCCTGCAGATTTCGAACTGAACTCGTGTACCAATTTTTAAAGGTAGTAGAAAAAGACCGTGAAATGTGACCGATAAATACGTGTGGCACAGAAGTGAGAATCATTGTGTTACATTCACGGCCACATCCACTTTAAAGAAAACTGCCTGTGTGTCTGCCTAGTCATTGAAGTCCTAGACTTAAATGGTTATCAGTGCATGTATTCTTCGAACTGAGAAAATATAGTTAGAGATATCTTAAATATATTTTGCATTTTTCAATACTCTTTTGGAAAGTTAGTTAGTAATATTTCGAACTTTTTTTATTTTGAGTACTTTTGTTTTATTTGCAGTTACCGTGGTTTTTGTAGTCTGGCTTTATATTTTTTAATGGTAATAATTCAAATATGTTTTTTTGCTTTAATCATAATCATAAAATAAAGTATTTTTAGTTTATTTATTTTATCTTGTTAATATAAAATAATGTTTTTCGCTTCTAATCCTAATAGCATAATTAATGAATAATTACAGAATTAATTACTGTCAGTTTATTTATTTTTTATCTACACAACAAACGGATCTTGCCATTTATCAAAAAATTCGTGAGAAAAAAAACCTGTCAGAAATACAGTCCATAGCGTACCAGATGTTTCGCGTCAAATGTTTTGACCGCGAAACTGGACTTCGTTCGGTATGTCTATGCTAACGATTCTGATGTTGCTGTGCTCGTTACACAGTTTGTTCTGGTACTTAACTAATTTATGAACTCTAACTTAGAAGTCAGGATTCAACCACTAACCTAACCTGCCCCTTTTTTTTTTGGCCCGAGGTATGTCGGGACTTCCTTTCTAGGGTATACCTGGTTCCCCGGCTATTAGTCGACATGCCACTGATAGGTGGTATCCGAGGGGATTTCCTCCTATCGGTGGCATGTCGGACTCGAACCGACTAAAACCGCACGCCGTCTCGGGTACTAATAGCCGGGGAACCAGGTATACCCTAGAAAGGAAGTCCCTGGTGCCCCGACATACCTCGGGCCATCTACAACGTGTGGAGAGCCGTGTCCACGGTCTGGCCATCGCGGTGGTGGCACTCAGGCGTTGGCTCCTTGCGGATCAGACACAGGTGATCCAGTGATCACCTGCGTCAGTCGGTATGAGGCTCCCGTGATGCCTCTCGAGCCAATCCTCCATAACGTGTCTTACCGCCGCGATGACGGCGTGCCCGACCTAAAATACCCTCATAATTAAATAGTACGTAAGTGCAATAAAGAAGGGTTGTTGCATTATTTCTTTCTATTCCTTTTTTTTCAACTGCAAAACATTTTAATTGAATACAGAACCTCTTTTTTCAAATAAATTGAAAGGAGCTATCACCCAGATAAAATATTCACTATCTCAAAAATGATCAGGAAATAAAATAAAGACCATAATCTTTTTCCATCAATTACAAATATAATTTATTTGTGATATTTTAAAGTTGTTTCATTTTACAATGTGTCGTTAGTTCGTATCATACACATCAAAGTTAAATTCATCTTTGAACACCTGTTGATACTTTTTATGGCCGGCAACAAAATTAGCGGTTCCTTTTGCTAAGAGGTTCCCATTGCAGCCGTATAAGCATGTTTCAACAATTGCCGCATTCCCGCTTCTCACTGGTTTAGTTTCCACGTTCACTGTTTCGCCTTCTTTAGCTGACTCTACAAAACTTAAAAAAAAGGTTGTTTTATCACTTGTACTTGGATATTTATTTTATTAAATGTAAAATGAACTTTGAGCCGCTTGGCGGATTTGGCTACCCTCACAATAAATGTCATTACTTTCTTTAATGTTTATTCAATTTTCTATCAAACATTATTTTATTATTTTTATTTTATTTTACACTTTATGCACAAATGTGACACAGGCGGACTTAATGCCGTAGGCATTTTCTACCAGTCGACCTTAGGGCGATGCAGAGTTAAAAAAATGTATATGCACAGAAATCAGAAATGTGATTTAAAAGAAAAAAATAAAATAAAATGGTATAAATAGAATATCATATGCGCAGGGTACTTAAATAAATTGCATTAGAATATATTTTAATAAAAGAGATACATACATATATAATAGCTAATAATGATACTAATACACACAATACATAAGTATTTATGTTTATATAATAATATACATTTATACATACATATAATTATACATATTATATATATTCATATATATATATACACACAATAAATTCTAGAAGAGAGAGGTATCAAGGTAGATCTGATAAGGAGTTTAAGAGATGTTTCCGCAACAGGTATTTAAAAGTTTGCCGAGTTTTTGCCATCCTGATCTCGCGAGGCAGCGCGTTCCATAGCAGGACGGATTGTACCAGAAAGGTAGAATGTACGAAGTCAGAGCGGTGAGTGGGACAGTGAAAAAGGAGGTTGCTTGAAGATTTAAGGTTTTTATCATAGTTTGCCCCTAAATATTGAAGTTGAGTAGTTAAGTAGGAAGGAGAACTAGGACAAAAAAGTAAAGAATATAGGGTAGTTAATGCTCGTGTCTCTCTGTGTTGGCGAATTGGAAGCCACCCCAAGTTAGAGCTATGCTGAGACACGTGATCATATTTGCGTAAATTGAAAAAGAATCAAATGCAATTGTTGAGAAGACGGTCAAGCTTATTGAGCAGATCTGCATTCAGGTCAAAGTAGCACACATCACCATAGTCGATTATAGGGATTATAAGGGTCTGGGCACGCATTACTTTAGTTTTTATTGGCAGAAAGTTCATAAGCATATAGAGGGCCCGCAACGAGCCTGTGACTTTCTGGCACACAGATGCAACTTGTTTTCGCCAGCTAAGAGTCGTGTCAATTTACAATCCGAGGTCCTTCACACTTTCACAGAATGGAATAACCATGCCATCGTAGATAAGTGGCGGTAGTTAAGCAAGGTCGAGCTGACTCATACGACGGTTACTTCCGATGATAATACCACCGATACGCCAAACATATCTGACCAGTGTTTAATGGCCGCCAGGTCACTATTTAGGATCAAGACCGCGGACCATACATCGCACAACTCAGTTTGATAGTATAACTACAAGTCATCAGAAGTAGAGATGATAGGAACACTGAAGGTAGGTCTTGGGGTGATGAGGTTAATGAAGATAGAAAATAGAAGAGGTGTAAGAATACCTTGTGGAACGCCAGCAGAAAGACCGCGCCAGCCAGAGGAAGAATCTTCCGTCCTGACTGACTGCTGACGATCCTGAAGGTAAGAGGAGAACCAGTCCAGTGCTTCTTGAGAGACCGAGAAATGGGATAGGACAGCAAGGAGGAGTTCATGACTGACGGTATTGAAGGCATTGGAAAAATCAAATAGTACTAAGGTAACCTTAGCATTCTCCATCGCCACCTTAATATCACCAGTCACTTTAAGAAGAGCAGTAACCGTGCTATGGCCGGTCGAAACCCCGACTGAAGAGGACTCAATAAATTGTTACCATAAATAAAGTGGGAGAACTGTTTGTGGACGCAGGCTTCAAGCACTTTGGAGAGGAAAGGCAGAATAGAACCATTATTTGTTTCAGAAACCAACATTATTAGCTGCCAACGTTTTCAGGCATCTTGATAGCAGATTTTTTGTTCTCTAGTGTCTTACAAAAATTTGTTGTATTATAAAATATGTTAAACCTTTTTTCTACTTACATGATATTCATATACGTAGTCCACGATAATCGTCCATCGGGCTGACTCATCTGGGAATAACAAGAGAACACATCAATCAGGCTGGCGATGTGCCCTCCATGAAGAGTATGGGCTACATTACACATCGATGGCTCGATTATGAACGAGCCTTTTAGTACACCATCTGAGGCTGAGTGTAGTTTTACCTGAAAATAGAAGAAATACAAAGTAATAAACAGTGTGATACTCTGCGTCGGAAATATGAGGAATCTGGAAACAGCTGATATTAAGACATTTCCAAGCGCCTGCCCAAGAGAATTTACCCAGAGGTGGTGTCCGCGCAATAACGGTGAATTCTCTATTTAGGCAACGTCTGGCACACGCGGACGTCACCTCCTCGCGGCTGGTCATTATGTCGGGTGAAGGTGAAAACCCGTATCCGTCCACCCGTGGCCACATTGACCGCGGCGAAATTGAGTCTTGCTCCCAGGCCTTCCCCGCCGCTTTTTTTGCGAATATCTCTGTGTGCTGCTAATACTGTGCCTGCCGTTTTTGATGTTGGGGAATATTCTCGTTTTTGATGTCCTGTATGGTTCTGAAAGTTGGCCCATTAAGAGAACGGATGAGAGACGCCTGACCGTAGCCGAAATCCGAAAATCCGAAAATCCGAAAGCCGAACTCAGCCCCCTCGCGGCTGGCCAAACTAATGCGGTTGGAGGGGAAACCCACCCCGTCCACCCGCGGCCACACTCAGGGCGGCATGAGGCGGTGATAAGCGCGCCTCCGCCGCCCGGTTCGCCGGCGGCGGATCGGGTCCGAGTGGAGGTCGTCCTCCCGGGCCTTCTCCGCCGCCTCCTTCTGCGAGATTACTTCCTCGCAGAAGGTTGCGACCGCGGTAAAACAACTGTCGCTACCGGCCATGGAGCGTACTACGGCCGGTAGCGAGAGATCCACTCCGATGACTGCAGTGAGGGCCCGGCGCTGCGTCGCCCATGCGGGGCAGACCGCCAGCGTGTGCTGAGCCGAGTCCTCACTGAAGTCGCAGTGGTGGCAGGCGGGACTTAGTTCCCTCCTAGCGACCGAGTGCAGGTACTTTCCGAAGCAACCGTGCCCGGAAAGCACCTGCGTCAGCCG